GTAGACGTGAATGAAGCTGGGGAAGCCCCGGGAAAGCTAAGCCCTCGAATTTCTGAAGCAGCCTACATCCAGGAATCCTAAAACCACCTATTAAGCCCAACGAGCGCCCCAAACCCTAAATCCTAAATGCTAAGCCTTCCTGAAACCCTAACCCTAAACCCTAAACCCTAACCAAACCCTACCCCCCCCCCCCCCCATTAAACCCAAAACGGCCAGTCTTGGCCTTGCCCTTTGGCTTGTTCCTGGTGCGACGATGGTTAGTTTCCTCCACCTGCGGCTCGCAGAGGGTTGAGAGCTGTTTAAAGGGTTCAGGGTAGGGTTTAGGGTTTAGGGTTTAGGGTTTAGGGTTTGGGGTTTGGGGTTTGGGGTTTGGGGTTTGGGGTTTGGGGTTTGGGGTTTGGGGTTTGGGGTTGGGGGTTTGGGGTTGGGGTTTGGGGTTTGGGGTTTGGGGTTTGGGGTTTGGGGTTTGGGGTTTGGGGTTTGGGGTTTGGGGTTTGGGGTTTGGGGTTTGGGGTTTAGGGTTTAGGAGTTCGATCGCGTTAAAAGCTTGGGCCCGGGGGAAGAAATCCAGCCCACCCCCCCCTCCCTTTCTCTGAATCATGAACCCGTGTAAAGGGCCCCAAGCCCTAGGGTCTTACGAAGCCGGCGCCCAAAACCCGCAACCCCAAAACGTGAGCACACAGACCCCAAAATATCGGGGCCAACCAAACAGGCCCCAACCTCATTGTAACCCTCGTCCCTACAAAGGACCTGAAGGGCAAAATATGAAAATATGCCCTAAACCCTATCGGGTGGCCCCCCTAAACCCTAAACCCTACACCCTGAACCCTCAACCCTAAACCGGGCAACCTCCAACTCCGGGTCATCCATGGACAGCACCGGGTTTCCGTCCTCGTTGACTTCCTCACAGAGGGTTGGGGGCTTGTTAAACCCTAAACCCTAAACCCTAGGATTTAGGGCTTGTGGGACTGTAGCTTGTGGAGTTGGGATTGCAGGGCTGGTAGGCCTAAAGCAGGGCATCCTACAACTGGCTACTATTTGCTTCAGAGCCCCACGAAAAATTGAAAAACATATTCCAACATATGGATTATTATTACTCTTTTCTTTTTGAGGGGGGGGGGTTCTTAAGCAAATAGTGATAGCAGGGCATCCTGCAACTGGGCGTTGCTTGGGGACCTTGAGCTTACCAAGTTGGGCTTCAGTGACCGTGCCATCATGGATAGCCAAAGAAACCCAAGCCCCACAGTCTCACTCCTCCAATGGCAAATCCCAAGCCCTAAACCCTAAACCCTAAACCCTAAACCCTAAACCCTAAACCCTAAACCCGGCTACCTCCACGCGCATGCCCTGCACGGTGTCACCCCGACGGAACTCGCCCTTGAGGTCGGCGGGAACCTGCCCGAGACGCTGTTTTCTGGGCTTAGGGTTTAGGGTTTAGGGTTTAGGGTTTAGGGTTAGGGTTTAGGGTTTAGGGTTTAGGGTTTAGGGTTCAGGGTTCAGAGTTTAGGGTTTGGGGTTTAGGGTTTGTAGGAGGGTTTACGAGAAAAAGCGAACCCCCCCCCCCCCTTACGTGGAATTCAGGCTTCGTTTGGGGCAGGGTTCTTCCTCTGCTGCACCGCTTTTGTTTGCCGCTATTTTCTTTAAATATTTGGTCTTTACATGATTTAACAGGGCTCTTGAGGATTAAGAAGGGGATTCACGGTCTAGGGTCTTGTTTCGTTGGATTTGAGGCCTTAAACATGCCTACAGAGCCAGTTGAAGCAATAAAGGTTCACTGGCTCAACGGGCGTCCCGTCTGTCTTGCTTCATCCCAAAGCCCTATAATTCCTAATCCCTAAACCCTAAACCCTAAACCCCAAGATGAACCACAAGCCCTAAACCCGAAGATGTCGTGCAACCCTTCAAGGCCCTGCAAAGCACTGAAGGATGAGCGGCTGAAGAACGAAAGACTTGGAAAATCCAAACTGAAGCCTGCACACCCTGGACACCAACGGTTTAGGGTTTAGGCTTTAGGGTTTAGGGTTTAGGGTTTCGGGTTTCGGGTTTAGGTCCTAAGCTTTGAGACTCTAGACACATTAGAGCCACAACATCCCCAAAAACTGCAAACCGGCAAAATACCCCTAAGCCCGAAACCCTTAGACCCCTAGGCCCTTAGGCCCGTAGGCCCTTATTAGACCCTTAGAGCCTTAGGCCCTTAGGCCCTAAATAAACCCTAAACTCTCCCTTAGACCCTAAGCCTCAACACCCTCAGATAGCCTCCAGGATGGCTTTCTTCTTCCCGCCGATGCTCACCTTCGCGGCGTTTCTTCGATTTCGGGTTTAGGCTTTAGGGTTCAGGGTTCAGGGTTCAATGAAGCTGGGGCTCTCCGGGGATTTTGGCTTAAGGGTTTATATGGGTTAACAGGGTTTCAGTAGGGGTTTCAAGTAGGGTTTCGGTAGGGTTTAGTGAGGGTTTAGTAGGGGGGGTAGCAGGGGTATAGTAGGGGTTTAGCAGGGGTGTTTTGGTAGGGGTTTAGCAGTTTAGCAGTGTCTTTGTTTGTTCGGGGTTTTTTTGGTGGGATTTAGTAGGGTCTCAAGGTTTGGACGGATCACAACTGAACCTTCTCACGCTCTGGAAAGTGAAGGATTTGCACTGGTTCTCAAAAGCAGGCAGAGTCGAAGCATGACGCTCACAAGCTGACATGTTCCCCCTTATACTAACAGTCCTGAATAGGGATTCTAGTACCCCCTCTTATGATCCTATTAAGGACTGATAGTATAACGGGGTACATCCCAGCTCACAAGCATGACGGGAGCTGCACAAGTTGAGGAGAACTAAATCCCGCGAAGCCCCATACTAAACTTCTACAATACCCCTGGTGAACCCTAAAAAGACCAAACCCTAAACCCGAAACCCTAAACCCTACCCTAAACCCTAACCCTGAACCCTGAACCCTAAACCCCACACCCCAAGCCCTTTTCTTGCCCCACTTGCAGCCGCAGGAGCCCAGACGCCCTTGCTGTTGATGGACACCACCACACCGTCCACGAGGTCTCCGGGCTCCAGCTGCGGGCCCTCGCCACAATAGGGTTTAGGGTTTAGGGTAGTTTAGGGTTTTGGGTTTAGGGTTTAGGGTTTAGGGTTTAGGGTGCCCTGGCAACAAACACCCTGGGTTTAGGGTTTAGGGTCTGTGGCAACAAAGCCCAACAGCTGGAGCCCCATCCCTAGGCATGATCGAGTTTGTATGGCCTAAAAGTTGTCGTTTCGCTCATGCAAACAATAGATAAAGATATATATATATATATGTACATGTATATGTATATATAACTAAATAAATAAACATAAGAAAATACATGAATGAATAAATCAAACAAAGACTAAGAAAGTAAAACAAAACACGTGTGTGTATGTATCTATGTATCTATGTATCTATGTATGTATGTATGTATGTATGTATATGTATATGTATATATGTATGTATGTATGTATGTATGTATGTGTGTATGTATCTGTGTGTGCGTGTATGTATAGGAGGCCGCCACCACCACCTGAATTTTGAACTAGGCCCCGAACCCGACACCCGGTTGATCCCCCAGATAGTTCTGTGCCACGCCTCCTCATCCTTTGCCTCATCAGGCGCTTCGGCCTTCTCCTAGGGTTTAGGGTTAGGGTTTAGGGTTTAGGGTTTAGGGTTTAGGGTTTAGGGTTTAGGGTTTAGGGTTTAGGGTTTAGGGTTTAGGGTTTAGGGTTTAGGGTTTAGGGTTTAGGGTTTAGGGTTTAGGGTTTAGGGTTTAGGGGTGGGTTTAGGGGTTTAGGGTTTAGGGCTTACGGCCCATCATGCGCCTCCATCCAAAGATTTCAGGAAGAGGAGGGCTGGAAGCAAATGCACAGAAAGAGTCTTCAAAAACAGAACTTGGAACACATGTGGTAGCTGCTTGCGCTGTAAGGCATGTGACGGTATGCGCTCCGGCGTTGTTAAATCGCATTGAGACGGAAAGATGATGGTCCCGAAGCCCCAAGAAGCCCATTGCGCTGCCGGGCGGCTGCCTTTTGCGACTTTGCCTTTGGGGCCCTGTTCTCCTGACCGGGGTTTTTAAGGGGTCCTTCAGGGGGCGGGGGGTTCATGAGGGGTAGGTACCTAGGAAACCTTAGTTAGGGAATCGTCGGGAGCCTTAGGGAGTAGTGGGGTGGGGAGTACTCGGAAACCTTGGGTTACATACCCCCCCGTCGTTTAAGATCCCCATAAGTTTTGCACAAGCCACAAACTCCTGAGTGTAAAAACCTTCCTAGCAGCCACAAACTCGATTCTTGAGGACGCGGCTGAGTGACTGTTCACAGGCTGCGATTACAAGATTACAAGGCTAGGGGAAAAACAACCACAACACCCTAAACCCTAAACCCGAAACCTCCAAAATCAAAGAAAACACGGAACCAGGAAAAACACCCGAAGCCCTAAACCCAAAACCTCCAAAATCAAGGAAAACACGGAACCAGGTACCACTGGAGCTGATTGGACAGATTGGGGATTGCCACAACATCCTTGGCCGGAAATCTTCTAGTGAAGCCTGAAGCCCTAAAAACACCCCCCCCCCCCCCCCACAAAAAAAAAAAAAAACACCCTAAAACACCAAGCCACCCCCCAAAAACACCCCTAAACCCTAAACCCTAAACCCTAAACCCTAAACCCTAAACCCTGAGCCCCAACACGGCTCCTTGGCCTTGGGACTGGCCTTGGGCTTCGGCCTCGGCTGTTGGGGTGAGGGTCGTGGGCGGCGCGGCGTCGGCTTTTGAGGGCTCGTTGTTTTTGTTGAAAGGGGGGGGGGGGTTTAGGGTTTAGGTTTAGGTTTAGGGTTTTTAGGGTTTAGGGTTTAGGGTTTAGGGTTTAGGGTTTAGGGTTTAGGGTTTAGGGTTTAGGGTTTAGGGTTTAGGGTTTAGGGTTTAGGTTTAGGGTTTAGGGTTTGGGGTTTCGGGTTTCGGGTTTGGGGTTTGGGCTTTCGGATTCAAAGGCTTGGTGTTGTGGTATTGCCAGCTTCAACCCTAAACCCTGAACCCTAAACCCTAAACCCTAAATCCTAAACCCTATACCGAAAACCCTAAACCCTAAACCCTAAACCCTCAAGAGCTGCTTTGCTGCAAGCCCAAAGCCAAAGCGGAAATCGTAGTCAACCGACCAAAACTCAACCAAATAAGTTTTAACTCCTCATGTCTCCAATGGGCATCGAACAGTGAAAGCGTAACAGCCCTATAACCCTAAGGATCCATGTACCGAAATAGGGAATACTTGGGCCTTTAAGCACCTCCTATTTAGGGACATTTAGGGCCCAAGTATACAAAAATCTGGTACATGTACCCTTAGGGTAAGCCCCCTAAACCTCAAAACACTAAAACCCTAAAACACTAAAACCCAAAAACCCAAAAACCCAAAAACCCTAGAACCCTGAAACCCTGAAACCCTAAAACCCTAAAACCCTAAAACCCTAAAACCCTAAAACCCTAAAACCCTAAAACCCTAAAACCCTAAAACCCTAAAACCCTAAAACCCTAAAACCCTAAAACCCTAAACCCTAAAACCCTAAAACCCTAAAACCCTAAAACCCTAAAACCCTAAAACCCTAAAACCCTAAAACCCTAAAACCCTAAACCCTGAAACCCTAAAACCCTGAAACCCCAAAACCCTAAAACCCTAAAACCCTAAAACCCTAAACCCTGAACCCTAAAACCCTGAACCGCCCCTGGATTCAGGGTGTGCGTTTCGGGTTGCCCTTCGGCCTCGGGTGTAAGCTGAGGGCTTACAGGGTCGACTGCTAAGGGCTTAGGGCTTAGGGCTTGGGGCTTAGGGCTTAGGGCTGAATTAGGGTTTAGGGTTTAGGGTTTAGGGTTTAGGGTTTAGGGTTTAGGGTTTAGGTTTCAGGGTTTTTCAGGGCTCAGGGTAGGCATCGGGGCCCCTGAAGCCAAGACGGGTGGCTGTTCGACCTGGTCCAGGGGAGCCTGGATTCTCCGTGGCTGGTTTCGGGTTTATGGTTTAGGGTTTAGGGTTTAGGGTTTAAGGGTTAAGGGTTAAGGGTTAAGGGTTAAGGGTTAAGGGTTGAGGGTTGAGGGTTAAGGGTTAAGGGTTAAGGGTTTATGGTTTAGGTTTGGGCAAGTACAAGCACTTGGGGATTGTAAGGGGATTATATTACCTCAACAAGGTTAAAGGTTACCATGCTCCCCTAAACCCTAAGCCCTAAACCCTAAACCCTGTAGTTCATGGTTGGGATAGGATTGAATATTTAGATTCCTGTTCCTTATTGAGTTCAAGTACCCTTTAAAATATATGAGTTCAAGTACCTTTAAAATATAAAGTGCTACCTCGCTATGACAGAGGTACCTTAAGCCTGCTTAAGCAAGAGGGGCCGGGGAAGGGTGCGCGAGAACTTTTCTGATTTCGGATTCAGGGCTGTGGAAGGGAGGGAGTTTAGGGTTTAGGGTTTAGGGTTTAGGGTTTAGGGTTTAGGGTTTAGGGTTTAGGGTGTAGGGTTTAGGGTTTAGGGTTTAGGGTTTAGGGTTTAGGGTTTAGGGTTTAGGGTTTAGGGTTTAGGGTTCAGGGTTTAGGGTGGCGGGGCTCGAGTTCCGTGTCTCTGCAGTAGGCACGTGGCTTCAGGAGCTTGACCCCTACGCCGGCACGGACTCCTCAGCCCTCCAAGGTAGGGGGGGGAGGGGGGGGGAGGGGGGTTTAGGGTTTAGGGTTTAGGGTTTAGGGTTTAGGGTTTAGGGTTTAGGGTTTAGGGTTTATTGATTGCGCATGTCTAGTTGTAATATATGCAGTCGTTCAGGGTCAACCGCAACAAACAAGCGCCTTCATAAGTACCATTGCCGTACTTCTAACCCTACGGCTCAGTAAGTCATGGGCCTGGGAGCGCCGGGTAGACTTATAGCCATACAATAATAAGGGCACCATTTTTGGGTTGGTTGCTTTATAAGGGAACCCAGAACCCCCCCCCCCCCCAAAAAAAAAAAAAAAAAAAGAGGAAAGGGCACCACTGGGCTACTAAGGCCGGGTAGATGGAGGAGAGGCCGATAGCATAGACAAAATCGGGTTTAGGGTTGCGATGGGTTCAGGGTTTTGGGAGGTTGGGATTGAAGGATGTCCGAACTCTTCTTAAACCCTTATACAAACCCTTACCCTTATACACCCTGAACCCTGCAAAACCCCAAATCTCAAAACGCACCTCCCCAAATTCGAATCCTGCTCTGGTCCTGAGGTGCAGGTAAGCGGCTGGCTTGGGCTTCTTAGGGTCTTTGTCCTTTTCGGCATCGGCCATCAAAGTTGCCAGTGAGACCAACTCCTGATCCTGGGCTGCTCAAAGGGTTTAGGGTTTAGGGTTTAGGGTTTAGGGTTCAACTCTATACAGAACTTGGAACCCCAGCAAATATATGATTTTTGCTGCCTCTGAGGAACTTCAAGTGCCCAAAAGTTAAACATGATCCGCAAGTATCCCGAAGAAGTCAGGATTTATGAGTGTAAGACATGTGTAAGGCGCATCTGATACCAAACTGGCCAAACAGCCCGATATCCTGCTGACAATTCCTCGCAAACCATATTCCCAAAAGGCTGAAAGGACGCGCCCCCCCCCCCCCACCCCCGCATAATCCCGCGAACCTTACCCTAAGGGTCCATGTACCATAATCCCTATAGGGTCCTATGTACCTCTTTGCATACTTGGGTCCCAAAGTCCCTATATCGACAGAACGTTGAAGCCCGAGTATTCCCGATTTAGGAAAAGACCCCTAGGGACCGTGCTGGAATGCCTCGTCCTAGCCTTGCAGAAAGTCGAACGCGAGTCTGCTGGAATGCTCTGTCCCGGCAGCTTTGGGCTTTGGCACCAAGGGTGCATCTCAGATTTCGTAGGATACGCTCTGTGGCTTTATATCGTTTGGGGATACACCATAAGCTCGACATCTACTGCCTCGAAAAAGCCCCGTGCGCCAAACCTGAGGCGCGATCCGCAATGGCACCTTCGACATCGTCCATGATCAGCCGCACTCGCTTCAGTTCCAGGTCAACGGTCGCCACGCAAAGGTCACGCAGCACCTGTGGTCGGCTCTCAAGCAAGGACAAGTATTCTCGCAATGGCTCCTGCAGAAGATTGATAGTACTTGTACTGTGAGGGATCCGTGATCTGACTCTATCATTTGCGGGTTTTCAGCCGTGCCAACCGTGTGTGACGCGTGTATGCCACGCGCCTGTCCGCGGACGAGCTGGTTGGCCAAGAAGCGTGGAAGCTGCAGCTTTCCGTGGCAGCCATCGCAGCCGACATTGACGAACACTCCGTACCTTAGGGCGACTTGTGCTGCAGGGTTTAGGGTTTAGGGTTTAGGGTTTAGGGTTTGCAATGGGAAGCATGCACAACGACTAGTGCAACAACAAAACGAAGATGTCCGAGGAATGACCCAGCCAAGAGACTGGTTCTTGGTATCCACTACGCCGTTCAGGTAGCTCCCCTCTTGCAACTCCTGCACGTGCAAACTGAAGCTGACGCACGGTACAGAGACTTGTTTTGGCAGACTTTAACTTTGAGCGGCTCGATCTTTCAATGCACAGGCAGTGTGCATGAGCTTCGGCAGTGATGAGAGATTGAATTAGTACTCACAGATCCGTTCCTCCAGCGGGATTCTGCTTGGCTTCAACACCTCTTCGACGTCCTGCATGGCGAACGAAGCAAGGCTTCAGCTGCAGCATTGTCCAAGGCTGTTGCATCTTCTTTGTTGTGACTTTGCATGGCAACCCGTTGCAGACCTCAAACCGCAACGCCTTCGGAAGCAAACAAACCTTCACAAGCAGACATCCGGTCCGCTACGGTCACGGTAGAGCGTCGGAGGTCAAGATCCACAGAGACGACCTCCATGTCCTTTCGCGGCAGCGACAGGGCGCAGCAAAGATTAATTACGAGCCAAGCTTTCATCGGAAGCTGAGCTGCAACAGCAATGTGACTGCAACAGGGCAAATGCGCTACGCAAGTACAAGAGAAGACCCCACTGTCTTGAGGTGTTCCCCCTTATACTAACAGTCCTTAATAGGGACCATAATAGGGGGCACTATAATCCCTACTAAGGACTGTTAGTATAAGGGGGAACATCCCAAAGTATCACACATGGCGCCCATCCTCCAACACATCGCCTCGTCGAAATCGGCGCCAAAATCTGCACTCACAGCTGGTTCAACTCAGGCCCACTCACTCTACCGAACTGGGAACCTAGCAAAAAACATGAAATCTAGCCGCTGTTTCTTAGGAACTATAATGCCGAAAATTGAAACAATCTTCCAAAGTTATCCGTAAGCTCACCGGCTGCATGGAGCAGTGCAAGGTGAATGAGTGAGAACGCAACTACCGAAGGCTGCACAAACACCCAGTTTGCACAGAAAAAAACGAACCTGGGATGCTTGTGGTGTATAGGTTTTAGGGTTTAGGGCTTAGGGCTTAGGGTTTAGGGTTTAGGGCTTAGGGTTTAGGGCTTTAGGGCTTAGGGTTTAAGGGTTTAGAGAATCCCTGGCTGCTCGCCCTCCAACCTGCGAGGAACAGCAAGGATGACATTCTGCTCATAGCCGATGTCAATGAAAACACCAAAATCGCCGACATTCACAACCACTCCTCAGGACACACACAATGCGGGTTTAGGGTTTAGGGTTTAGGGTTTAGGGCTTGGGGCTTGCCCAGCAATATCAGGATCGGAGCTCCCTCGGTGTGCCATGATCCAGCAACCCAGCATGTGCCGACTGTGGGCGGGCCCCCCCATGACCAAAGGCACTTATATCTACATATCTATGTATCTAGGTAGCTATATAGGTATATATATATATATATCTAGATATCTATATATCTATATATCTATATCCATATATCCATATATCTATATATATCCATATATATATATATATATATATATATATAAACCATTCTTTCTACCACTTTTTAATGGTAATCATCATCTCACATGAACCTATGGTAAGACGTTCGTTAATTACCAGCAATCAGGCCGCCGTCGACACGGGAGTCTACATCCAGGTCGTCAAATTTCTTGCCTGGCAGGTTCGGAGGTCGTACTGTCGGTTAGGGTTCGGGGTTTCGTTTTAAGGCTTGCGGTGCAGGAGAGAGCATGTACAGGGTCTGTGGATTCGGTTCGGGGCTTTAAGTTTTGGGGCTTAAAGGGGCCTATGAGGGAACCTAAGCCCTAACCCTAAACCCTAAACCCTAGACCCTAAACCCTAAACCCTAAACCCTAAACCTAACAAAAAGGGGAATAAGGCCTACTCTGGGTCCCGGCCTTCCGGATGTCCCCAGTTGGCTCGAGGTCTGTCCGTGCGAGGGGGCCTGCACTGGGCTTCTGGACGTGTACTTGAAGGTTCATGGTTTAGGGTTGAGGGTTTAGGGTTTAGGGCTACTTGAAGGTTCATGGGTAGATTCTGAGGCCTAAATCAGGTTCTACCCGGCTATAGCTCAAGTTTACCCTACTGATAACCCCTCCTATGCTACCTACGAACCTTCAAGTAGGGTTCTAAGTGGAGCGGTTCCAACTGGAAACTCCCAAGCACCAGAAAACCTTCACATCTCATCATCAGCCCATCCATGAGCTTGATTCTTCTTGCTGAACTCGTCAGGTCAAGTCGCTTAGGGTTTAGGGTTTAGGGTTTAGGGTTCACATGCTTTCTGGCGATAGATGGATATTGATGAGAAGGACGGATGCAAGGACGTGGCAGTGCTTAAAGCACCCGGTTTGGTAAAAACAGTTCATGGTTGGGATACTATTTAAAAATCGAATGTTAATTCCTTATAGGGTTTTAGGACACTTAAAAAAGTAAAATGGTACAGTACCCAACTATGACAAAGTAAAAGTCCGTCGGAGGCTACGCCCTAAACGGTTTAGAGTTTAGGGTTTAGGGTTTAGGGTTTAGGGTTTAGGGCGGTTTACAAGCTTAACGCGCCATGTGCGGCCTGGGTGCTGAGTCTGGCCTGATCGCATCATGCAGCCTTTTCTGGCTTCAATCCGACATATATTTCAGGTTGGGTTTTTCGAAGCCCTAAACCCTAAACCCTAAACCCTAAACCCTAAACCCTAAACCCTAAACCCTAAACCCTAAACCCTCCATCCTAAACCCTAAACCCTCTGGCCGTAGGCCAGGGGACTTGGAACCCTGACACCAACCATCGCCGGGTCGACCTAGGCATAGTTGCAGGGTCAAGCTGTGGATCTTAAGACTCCCACAGCAAAAACCCTGGTAGACACCTATAATATACGGGCCTTCATAGTTAGAATTGCAATATGCTTATAAATGGACTATGAGGGAATACTATTATAGTACTTCTTCCGACGCCATGGTTTTCAGCCTGCAACCCGGAGCCCTAAACCCTAAACCCTGAACCCTAAACCCTAAACCCTGAGCCCCAGCGGCCTCCTTCCGCGCGAGGCTGTGGAGGAGGCGCGGCGAGGGCGTGGCTTCTGCCCAGGGTTTTGCTGGCTCGACGTTTGGGCGGCTTTCTACTATTTGCCTAAGATCCCCAAAAGAATGAAAAAAACCATGAATAAGCAATCATATTCTGTTTTTTCGGGGTTCTTGGGCAGATAGTCGGCTTTCTACTTGGCTTCAAATCCTTTTAGGCCCTGAAGTTCCAGGAGCAACTTCGACTGAAGATCTTGTCGGGATGCCTCCGCCCTGACAAGTTCTGCACATTTGCAGGCCGAAGCTGTTTCGTTAGGGCTTGTGCACCTTTTGCTATGGAGTTAGTAAGGCTTTGAAGGCATCCCCTTGTCTTCAACGCTACTTTCGCTCCCTCACCCTCAGTCTGTCAAAGCATCACTAGAGGCCCAATTTCAAGGCTTAGGGTTGAGGGTTTCGGGTTTTTCCGCTTAGGGTTTAGGGTTTAGGGTTTAGGGTTTCGGGTTTTTTTTTTCAGACGAGGAGTACTAAGCGCCATGCCAATGACATGTGTCTTATGGCGAATGGTATGCCGGCAAGTGCCGCAAGAAGGTCCTAAGCCCTAAGCCCTAAGCCCTAAGCCCTAAACCCTAAACCCTAAACCCTAAACCCTAAACCCTAAACCCTAAACCCTAAACCCTAAACCCTAAACCCGAAGCTTTTAGGCCCCAAGCTCCGAGGAAGCCGAAGCTCCTCTAAGAACCCCAAGCAACCCTGAGGCCCGAAACCCTAGACCCTAACCAACCCTAAACCCTAGCCCTAAACCCTAGCCCTAAACCCTAAACAACCCTAAACCCTAAACAACCCTAAACCCTAACCCTAAACCCTAAACCCTGACCCTAAACCCTAAACAATCCTAAACCCTAAACCCTGAGCCCTAAGCTCCAAAACAGAAGCAACGCATCCCGCCTGGGCGGCAGGCTCCTCGCGAGGCCTCGAGGGAGCCGAGGAGCTGCGCCGCGGAGGAGCGCCCGGCTCCTCCGCCTCGTTGGTTGGGGAGGGTTTAGGGTTTAGGGTTTAGGGTTTAGGGTTTAGGGTTTAGGGTTTAGGGTTTAGGGTTCAGGGTTCAGGGTTTATAGTTTTTAGCTTTAGGGTTCAGGGTTTAGTTTGTGGTCTCTTAGGGTTCAGGGCTTCGGGCTTTCGGGGGGGGGGGGGGGTTCGGATGTTAGGGCCTGGGTTGAGGGTTCAGACTTGCGCTCGACTCTGGACTCGGGATGCTGTCGGGTGTACCCTAAACCCTAAACCCTAAAACCCTAAAACCCTAAAACCCTAAAACCCTAAAACCCTAAACCCTAAACCCTAAACCCTAAACCTAAACCCTAAACCCGGAGAAAGGGGGTAGGTCTTTAGCCTTTGTGGACTGGCTCATGCTGTCCCTGCATCGAGGTGCAGGGGCCGTCAGTGGTGTCGTGCTTGGTTGCGATACGCCCTGCCAAAGGTGTCAATCAAGATTTGGGTTTTAGGTTTCAGGGTTTAGGGTTAGGGTCTATACTACAGTGCCTTAAGCGACTTCAGAAGTCCACGTCCACCTCACGGGACTATGGCACCGCTCCCACCATGCAATCTCCTAAACCCTAAACCCTGAACGCGAAACCCTAAACTCGAACGAAGGTCTTTGGGAATGCTGAAGCGGTATTGAAGCTGTTCAACCCTAAACCCTCTCCAGTCCCCTCTTTTTTCCCTGCGTGGCCTTGGGACGTCCACGGGAGGCTGGCCGCCTTTTTCCCTTGCCTGCGGCTATGGCCAAAACGACGTGCTTGGGGTTTGGGTCTGCATTGCGGCGACCCTTTTTGGTACCCCAAGCTATGAGGGTTCGACGATACAAGAGACCAATGTAAGTATTTGGCAAGTTGTTGGGCTCAGGGTTGCTGGGTTTGCATGCACGGTGTTTGTTGCTTGCGTCTATGAAAGGTGGGGGGCGTGTCAGTGTCGCTCTCGGCTCTTTTCGTCAACAACTAGTTCATGGTTGGGATATTAGTAAGAATCTAAATTTATATTTCTTATTGGGTTTTAGTACTCTTACAAATGTAAAATGTTACCCAACTGTGACAAAGACAAGGGCTTCTTTGGCCGTGGCTTGCTGTGAGCTAAAGTTGCTTCACTGTCGCCACTTACTTGTGAGGGGGATCGGTTTGACTGAGTTGTCTCTTCTAGGCCAACGAGTAACCGAGGAATACATAAAAAGGGTACCCTTTTTGGTTTAAAGGGGTATATAAGGGGACCTAAACCCCAAAAAAGCGAAGAAGGGCCTGCTCTGGGTCCGAGTCTCTGGGGTTTGGGGATTCACCCTAAACCCTAAACCCTAAAGCCTAAACCCTAAACCCTGAGGAGGACCGAGGCTGTGCCTTTCAAGGTACCGCTTCACAGGAGGCTCATTATAGTTACCCATGGCCCATGAACCTTCGCGTATCCCATTACCTCCTGGCGCGAGAAACCACGACAAACCACCACATGGGGGTTTACAAAAATCAGGGACCCCTACAGTAGACCCCAAATAGTAGGATCCCCTAAGAATAAGGACCCCAACAAGGGTACCTGAAACCCCTCCCCCCCCTCATTGCTTCAGCTTCCCAAGGGTGCCTTCACCCTTCTCAGCTTTTTCACCTTTGTCGCCTTTTCCGCCTTTGCCGCCTTTGCCACCTTTTTCACCTTTTTCACCCTTCTCCATCGCCACCACGAAGGCACTCTCGACCTCATCACAGAGGTACTGGAGGTTCACGGGTTGTTGTAAGTAGGACTATACGCACCCAAAATAAGGCTATAACCAGCTACAGTCAAAGTTGCCCTACTTATAACCCCACTTAGAACATCTTATAATGCCGATGAACCTAGAAGTACTGGAAGATGCAGAGACGTGCGATGTTAAGAACACTTTGGGCCTGTGGAACCCTCGAGGACGCTGAGGCACACTTTAGGGTTTAGGGTTGAGGGTGGTTTTTGTTTGCTGCTCGGATCTAAGATGCGACGCTCGAAGAGACGTGTAATTCGCCGAGCTAACGGAATCCTAAACGCCTAAACCAACGTGAACAGGTAAAAAAGGAAGCATGCGCAGACGCATCACCTGCCCTAAACCCTAAACAAAAACCCTAAACCCTAAACCCTAAACCCTAAACCCGAAACCCGAAACCCTAAACCCTAAACCGAAAGCAAGGCCTGCTTCTGAAGCCATTGTTTCGGAAGATAGCTTACAAAGCGTTATGGGGGGGGGGGGGGGGGGGGGGGGGGGTTCCGATATTCGGGGGTACCTTGTTGGGTTCCTTCTTACAAGGGGTGTGATGCGCGAAAGCTGAGCTAGGGCCTGGGCGAGACAGGGCCGGTCACTTGGGGCTCTTGAGCCAAAGGCTGCAAAGGGATCGAGGACTCAGTAAAGACTTGGATTTACAGTGCCTGGGTCCGATTCGGTGCACTGCTGTTATAAAAAGCCAGTTTTGTCAACCAGAAAGCGGCAAGTTCCAGTGCTTAGGGTTTGTAACAACACCCCCCCCCCCCCCCGGAAGGGGGGGGAGGACGGGGGGGGGGTGGGGAAGGGGGGGGGTGGGGAGGGGGGGGAGGGGGGGGGGGGGGGGAGGGGGGGGGGGTGGGGAGGGTGGGGAGGGGGGGGAGGGGGGTAGGTTCGGACCGAGCACCCCTCCGAACGCTTGTGGCAAGTGCAAGCGAACCCAAACCCTAAAACCTAAACCCTAAAGCCTAAACCCTAAAACCCGTAAACCTAATCCCTAAACCACTAAACCCGAAACCCTGCGGCATTTTTGGGTCTGCTTCCGTGCGGGGTTCTGTGCGAGGGACCGCATCTCAGCTCCTGGTCTAACTTTCACCTGTCCGGACCTGCCATCTGCGTCATCACCAGCATGGGTAGTTATAAGTAGGGTTATAAGTGCCCTAAAATGGATTTAGCTACCATACACATAAGCCTACTTATATCTACGCATGAAACTCCAAGTAGGTTCGACGGCCCTACTGGGAGATACGGAAGATAGGGCCTTGAATAAGCTGCATCGCAAATGCCCCACCTTTGCCGCCTCCCCAGGCGGCGATCACGCAGTGACACACACAGGCATGCTTGCAAGCTTTGTGACGCCTGCCTGTGCCGAAAATCTTTGTGGTTGAATCAAGAGGCGCTGCGCAACAGCAGCCTGCAACGTGCTAACACCCAGGATGGGCTTTCTTTAAGGGGATATCTAGGGTATAACAGCCCATCCTGGACTGGTCACAATGTGACATGCCAGCCTGCAGATGGGATCTCACTCCATGGAAGCAACGAGATAGCGCGAGATGGCAGGACTCCAGCTTTTCTAGTTTGCAACCCTGACCGAGCTTCTGCTGTTGTAGGTGCAGGACTGGACTCACTCAGGTCCTCTCCAGCTGGCGTTGTACCAGATCCTTGTACACCTGGCCAACGCGGCGAAACAGCAAAGCAAACTGCAGTCTACCTGAATATGGCGTTCCAGACACTTCAAAGCCTTCTCTCTGCACGTCTATAAGCCCTGACACTTGAACCCCAAATGGGATCTCCGAATATAGGGGTACCCCTCATCTACCCCAAGATGCTGTAGTCCTTTTACAGGAACCTCAAAAAAGAACACCCTATTTTCGGACCCCCACCCCCCCCCCCCCCCTCCCCACCCCCCCCCTCCCCCCCCCCGCCCTCCCGCCCCCCGCCTCCCCCCCCCCTCCCCCCCCCCCCCCTCCCCCCCCCCCCCCCTCCCCCCCCCCCCCTCCCCCCCCCCCCCCCCCCCCCCTCCCCCCCCCCCCCCCAAAAAAAAAGAACAAAAAACAAAAACGGCGAAATAAGGGGGGAGATGGCCTGGCCCTTTGCAAGGAGCTCTTCATGACTGCCCATCTCCACACACTCACCGGAGCTCAGCACAACCTCAGTTTAAGGGGTGTTTGGGGGTTTCCGACATTGGGGGTACCTTCTGGGGGTCCGGATGACAAGTGGATCCTACCATTTGGGGTCTGTTTCTTAGGGGTCCCTGATCATCGTAAACCCCCATGTGGGCCTAGGATTTCTGCGTGCAGCTAGCACGCTGCCACCGAGTCATGACTACCCTAAGGCTCCTCCTATGTAGTACCTTCTTTGGGGTAGTATACTAGAATCCCCTATAACTAACAGAAAAGGTTGTATACTAGAATCTCCTATAACTAACAAAAAGGTAGTATACTAGAATCCCCTATAAGTAAAACCCAAACAGGAACTACACTGGAACCTTAGGGTAGCGACTACGTCGGCAGATGCTGCAAGAATCTCTCTGCTGACGCGAAGGTCTGGCCCGCTGAGGCTTGTCTTGCTACCCCCTTCCGGTCTATGTACCTAAACAGGAAATACTTGGGCCTGAAAGTACAATCTAGAAAGGAGCTTTGGGGTCCCAAGTATATGATAAGGAGGTACATGGACCCCTCGGGAACCAAAACCCAAAGCCGCACACAAATCCTTATAAGCCTCAAGCCACAGTTCTGCCATCGGGGTCCTGGCAATACGATCGGCATCTTTCACAGTGGACAGTCGGTGAGCCACCACCTGACTTGAACAAGGTAGGACGCTCGCTCGTGCACCATGCGTTTGGGGCCACGTACGTGAATGCGTTCAACTGAGAAAAGTGCAAAAAACCTAGGTCTTAGGGTATTTAGGTTGGCGGCACTAGGCAAAAACAGCACAAATTATTCGAAGGCGGGCGCTTTTGGGGTCTTTTGAGCGTTTCGCATCGGCGGGAGCGTTGTTTTGAAAGAGGCGGAAACACAAAACAGGCAACGCTTTATAATGAATTTGAGGAGTTTTCCGTCTTCGTTTGGGGGCTCAGACCGTTTTTGTTTGGGCGTGCATTGTGAAGTCTTTGCGTAATCTGTTTCGAGCTGTTTGTGCTTCGCGGTGCACAGTTTTGAAGGAGTAAGGCTGGAGTTTTATGAGAACCTGAACCCTAAACCCTACACCCGAAACCCTAAACTCTAAACCCTAAACCCTAAAGCCTAAGCCTTAAACCCTGAACGTTCAGGGGGAGGAGCGTAGGACAAGCTAGAAGGCAACTTTAAGCCCTCCTTCATGCGCCGCTGATCCGTTTTCATCCCTGAGATCCCGCAATGCAAAGACTTCATTATTTCCAGGCTTCCAGATTTCCACCCTCTAATTTTATTCCAAATTTCCAGATCTGGAAACTTAGAGGTTGGAAATGGAATAGCTAATGTGGAGGCTTACAGGGTGAAGATTCGGAAACCCCCGGCGAAAAAACCGCAAACGGATTCTTGCGCAAAGGGTGAGCGACTTCAATGCGCGAAGCACCGGAAACTACGTAAATACCACACTCTTCCTGGCTGTGGAACCCGAAACCCTAAACCCTGAACCCTGAAACCCTAAACCCAAATTCCCTCCGGAGAACCTTGGGTGCTGCTTGTCATTGCGGGCTTTGGATTCCTAGTCCAGTTTCCGAGGTCTGGCATGTCAGGAGAACTACGGGCCTCCGGGCCCTAAAAATGCTACCCAAACAGCAAAAACCCTAAAAATGTTACGTTTCGGGTTTAGGGTTTAGGGTTTAGGGTATAGGGTTTAGGGTTTAGGGTTTAGGGTAAAAACCCTAAACCCTAATCCCCTGAACCCGAAGACCCTGAACCTGACCAGGGAAAACCCAAAACCCTATACCCCGGAACCCTGAAAGCCCGAAACCTAAACAAACCCCTAAACCCTGTACGCCTGAAACCCTAAAGCCTAAACCCTAACCCTAAACCCTAAACCCTAAACCCTAAACCCTAAACCCTAAACCCTAAACCCTAAACCCTAAACCCTAAACCCTAAACCCTAACCCCAAAAATTGAAGGCTGAAGGGCGGCTTGCAGCCCAGTGGCGATGAAAGTTCTCCCGCTGCGCTGCTCCATGAGTTGGTTCAAAGCCTGGGGAGACAGGGGTTTAGGGTTTAGGGTTTAGGGTTTAGGGTTTAGGGGTTGGGGTTTAGGGTTTAGGGCTACGGGTTTAACAGGGCTTTTCAGGGTTTGTAGGGTCTTTGTAGGGTCGAGAGGCGCGATATAGGGTTTTTAGGCTTTACAGGGTTTATCGGGTCCATAGTCAAGCTTCATACTTAGGACTGCTCAGGCAAATACTATTTGAGGGTTTCATCTGTTTATAGTCGACGGTTTGGTCGCTTAAGGTTGTAGTTTATAGGAACAACGTGTGTGTGTGCATATATATATATATATACATATATATATATATATACATCTTAGAAATCTCTTCAAATCCCTACAAACCCTACACCCTAGACCCTAAACCCTAAGCCCAGCCGAGCCGCTTGTTGCACAATGCCCTCTGACTCTGCGTCCAGGGCAGATGTGGCCTGCCAGAGCGTGGCAAGTGACCAGACGAGCCCCGTGTCCTCGCTCTCTTCGAACCTATAGAATTTTGGGTTTAGGGTTTAGGGTTTAAGGTTTAGGGTCTAGGGGTTGGAGGGGCCTAAATAAGTAAAATAGTTGTTTTTTTGGGGGTGTGGGGAGGGGGGGGGGGGGGGGGTATTAAAGTATCATGAGAAAAATAGTGACCAGAAGGAGTACTATTCGTAATGCTTCCGAACCCTAGATTCCGTGGGGGCAGCACTTGTGCTGTGCACAATGTGAGCAGCCGGACGACTTGTTCTTCCAGAACATCCAGCGGCGTAGCATGTATGACGAACGCACTCCAGAGTCTAGCCGTAAGCGGTGCTGTGCCCGAGCTGCCCGTGCTGTCTTCATCTGACTTCCCAAGAACAAGTATCATGTGGGTACAGCAGTAGTATAAGCTGTATGTCCTGTTCGGACCAGAACTAGGTGTCTTCCCTCTTTGTGAACAGACACGTTCTTCATTCACCTTCTACAAACGAACACGCTACATTGGGCAGGGACAGACAAGGACCAAGCGGATATTCAAATCACGGGGCGGAGGCTCATTTCAAATTTCGTTCAAATGCGAAGAAGAACGAACATCTCTCCACGACTTGGGCACCCCGGGAAAAAAAGCAGCTTAGGATTTAGGGTTGGGGGCTTAGGGTTTAATTAGGGTTTAGGGTTTAGGAAATTTTCGGGTTGCCTCGAGTGCACTGCAAGGCCTGTACGACTGCTTGAAGAATAAAGTGCAACAAATCATGGACCTCCCAGCTGGTTAGGCTTGTGCGATGCCCTGGCCTAAGGCCCTGAATCAACACACATGGGGGTTTACGAAAAGGAGGGACCCATGGGGACCCGCAGCTTAGACCCCCAAATATATAACAATGACCCCAACAAGGTACCCTAAACGCTAAACCCTAAACCCTAAACCCTAAACCCCCAAGGCTTGAATCTTGGCTAGACCATCGCCAGCAGGAGACCAAGAGCCTGGCGTGGGTTCCCCTAGTACCCCGCTCTATACGACCCCCCGGTTTAGGGTTTAGGGTTTAGGGTTTAGGGTTTAGGGTTTAGGGTGCCCCTAGGTCTTCCCAGAAGTAAGGCTATTTCGGGATAGTTCAGCCTAATTTAGGTAATTTAAGGGGGGAATTTAGGGGGGGGGGGGGGTTGTTTCGAGTGGGTTTAGTAGAGGAAACCATGAAATAGTTTCATGCCGCCATCCGAAGGCACGGCAGTTTCTCAAACGAACCGTCCCAAATGGACGGCTTGCCAAGTAGCCACGACTGTAACCGAAAGCAACTGCCCGGAGGCAAGTGTTCCTTGCAGAGCGGATGCTAGACGGCTTAGCAGAACCCTCCGGCAAAAAAAGGTCAGCACTTGTAAGGCTATGAGCGCTATTTAACATGGCGAGACGTCAGCAAGCATAGGGAACTTATTGAATGGGCAACGGGAACGCATGTTCCTGTGCTGCAGCCCGTAGCTTCTCAATCTCATGTCTCTCATGATCAGTGTTCATCTCCCTGTGAGGCTGGTGAGGTACATGGCTGCTTTTCATACTTGATGAAGGTTCTGTTAAAGCCCTGCATCCGACGGCACTGTGCAGTTAGTGCAGATTGCACACTGGAACAGAGGCTGGCCAAGCTTGCTAGCTGGCAGCTGCAAAAGCGAGGCCTCTTTCAGCCCACTGCCCCAAAGAACTACAATGTTCGTCGTTGCCGGCGCAAGGTGTTACAACAGGATCGAAACTGCCTATGCTGTTGATATGGAGTGGGGGAACGATGAAACCGCGTTTCAATCAAAGTAGTGCTGCGTCCGCCCAAGTCGTGAGTCACGGCAAGGGCCAACTGCGCGCGCCACTGGCAAGGGCGTTGTTCGCTTAACTAACTCGGCAGCGAGAAGGCAGAAGAGGCGCAGGACTACTTGGAGGTTCATGGGTAGGTAGAAGCGGAGCTATATGTAGGGTAGCTGCAATTTTAAATTATAACTGGTTCTAACCAAATTTTGGGCTACCTATCAGCACAGACAAGTTGAATATGGCTTGATGTCCATGGAAGATCATGAAAATCGACACCCCTTCTGCTGGCTGCTCGTCTTAACTAAATGGAAACACCCTTTGACAAACAAAGCCAGCTTGACCGTTGCTCAAGTATGGCTTCAAGATACAACTCATGATAGAAAAACTCTTCGAGTGCTCTGAGTGCTCTCGAAACTTTCGCGCAAGCCCCACGGCTGTCGCCGATAACGGACTGCTTAAGATCACAGGTGTTCCACGCGGAGCGGATGCTGCAATGACTTGTCCTAGCCGGCCGTAAACCCTGCGCATACCAGGATTGCTTTGCGGGAGTCCTTCTGCGCATCTTGGAGGTTCACGGGTAGTTAGAAGTAGGGTTATAAGTACCCTAAGTAAGGTTATAAGTATAGCTACCCTACTTCTATCCCTATTGATAACTACCTATGAACCTCCAAGTAGACAGCAGCACGAGAACCCAGGTTTGAAAGCTATTTCGTATATATTGTAAAAGGTCGGAAGGGGAGTAAGGACCCTTCTGAATGGGTCAAGCGCATGAGTCTCATGAGCATGTCTGATCAGTGTTCATCTTCCTGTGAGGCTGGTGAGGTGCATGGCTGCTTTTCATACTTAATGAAGGTTCTGTTTTAAGCCCTGCATCCGACGGCACTGTGCAGTTTGCACATTGGAACAGAGGCTTGCCAAACTTGCTAGCTTGCAGCTGCAAAAGCGAAGCTTCCTGCAGCACACAAGCGAACTCCGAACAAATCACACATGCAATGCACGCCACTGGCGAGGTGTGTGTGTGTGTGCGTCTGACTGACAGGCAAGGTGAGCTTGATGCCCATCAACAACGAACATCAAAACCGACATCCCTTCTGTTGGCTTCCCGGCTGGAGGGGCCACACCCTCTGACAAGAGAACAATGTTCTTGATTGCTGATCAAGCATGGCTCGTCTGCAGGTGACCATCCTCCAGCCCAAGAGACGGGTTTTGGGTTCAGGGTTCAGGGTTTATAAGGGTTTAGGGTGATGCTGCCCTCCTTTACCTGCGTGGCGTGGGATATGGGGCCTGAAATTTAGGGAGTTTTTTCCGGAAGACTCGGAGCTCTCGACACGAGTTGAAGTTTGCATTGGCCATTGCTGAAGCATGAAACCTGTGACCCTGCATTCAAGAACCAAAGCCTTAAACATGCAACCCTCAATCCTAAGATCCTTACAAAGCTTGCACCCCGAATCCCTAAACGAAGGCATCCCGATGGCCTGCAAGTAAGGCTTGGTAGTCCAGGAACCATATAGCACTAAGGGCACCCTTGTTGGGGTTGGTTAATTTCTAAGGGAAAGGTGCACCCCCCAAAATAGGAAAAGGGCACCAGTGGTTTAGGGTTTAGGGTTTAGGGTTTAGGGTGTAGGGTTTAGGGTTTAGGGTTTAGGGTTTAGGGTTTAGGGGCTACCAAGAAGGCTTCAACCCCATGAACCCGAGGATTGACCATGGGGTGCTTGTCTGGGTCCAGAGTCTTAAGGTCGCGAAATGGGCTTTTAGTTTAGGGTTTAGGGCTGGCACCGGACGGAAACTGCTGCAACCCTAAACCCTAAACCCTAAACCCTAAACCCTGAACCCTAAACCCTAAACCCTAAACCCTAATCTTGGATCTAGGTGTTGAAGGGGTCTGGGCCTCGAGCTTGGTCGTTTTTGGGGCTCCGTCATGCTCACACACAGGACACCCGGGTGTAGGGTTTTGGGTTTTGGGTTTGGGGTTTAGGGTTTTGGGCGGAGGCCTATCAAGCATGCCACTTCTTAGCCTGACTTGTGCATTCTATGGGCGGTTGTCAACATTTTGGTCCCTTCTTGGATCCCTACGATGATACGGATACCTAATATTCAGGGTACCTGAAGAGGGATCATAACTTATAGCACCACTATGAGCTCCTAACACGGATTTGTTTTAGGCAGCCAGAAGCTGAGGCCTTGCACAAGTCCGTGGTCTCACCACCATACTCCATCGCGCGCCGCCAGGTCACCGCAAACCGCAGCCTGTGCGGGGTGACCTCGATGACCTGCGGGTTAGGAATTGCAAAGGGTTTAGGGTTTAGGGTTTAGGGTTTAGGGTTTAGGGTTTAGGGTTTAGGGTTTAGGGTTTAGGGTTAGCACAAGAATCCGCAACAAGAACTGAAAGCACGCCATTCACTCGTAGCATTCCTCTCCAGGCTGTCCTTGCGGAATTTGTCCAACGCTTCCTTGTGCATCTCGTGTAGGGCTCGTCGTGGTTGAAGTGCTTGATCCGGCGGCAGTGCTATGTCCTGCGTCACTCTGTTGCTAGTCTTCAACCCTAAACCCTAAACCCTAAACCCTAAACCCTAAACCCTAAACCCTAAACCCTAAACCCTAAACCCTAAACTACCCCCTCCTTCTCAAGACAGGTCCTCAGGACGCGTGAAGGAGAAGAATGAGCGGAAGTGATTTCCGTCCTGACCACAGGATGACAGGAGGAAGGTTCCATAAACCCTAAACCCTAAACCCTAAACCCTAAACCCTAAACCCTAAACCCTAAACCCTAAACCCTAAACCCTAAACCCTTCCGGCTTCCGGGAAAAAGGGGGGAAAAGAGCAGCCACGAAGCACGGCATGGCCCGCCTGAACCCTGTGTGTCGCGCACTCCCACAAGCGGATCATGTCCCCCAGAATTCTGGCGGTTCTGCATGATTCTTGGGATGGTCCCCCTTACACTAACAGTCCTTAATTGGGATTATAGTAAGAGTACTCGTGATGATATAAGGGAGAACATCCCAACATGATTCAGTCAAGGCCACTACGAGCAGACAATTCAGCGCTTCACAGTTTGCGGAACCTTGGGCGCTTGCTTCGTGAATCATATTCAGGGTTTAGGGTTTAGGGTTTAGGACATGAGAACGAGCGTTTGTGACGCATTACATTGGCATTGTCCTGCAGCATCGCAGTTGCAGCTTTTTCAGGAGCGAGTAATATACGGGCCTAAATAATTAAAACACGGTTTGGGGGGGGGGGGGGTTATTACAGTCTAGTTATAAAGGGACCACAATGGAATACTATTAGTAATTACTCCGTGGAGTTTTTGAAGAATGGCACGCCATTTGGGCGTTTCCGAAATTAGGGTACCTTTTTGCGGTGGTCATTTTAAAGGTATACTACTATTTTCTTAAGGGTCCCGTATCTTCGTCAACCCCCATTTAGCACCACTTAGCTTAAGGGTTGCTAGGCGCTTCGCATAAATTGCTTGGTGTCGTGCTAAATTTGGCCTTACCCTGATACTTACGATGTTGGGCTTTGTAGTTAAATGGTACCAAAAACACGAAGCAAAGCTCTATTCAGTGCATAGCCACCTGCCTCATCGTCGTCCAGCGGCGGACAGAAGCTCGCAATTGGAGGTGGCAGCCAGTCGTCCGCAAGGATCTCTTCCGGTTTTGAGGGAGCCTTTAGGTTGTCAAGGGACTCGCCCAGCCAGAAGCGCACAGACCTGCTTGAAGTCTTCGACATGGAGCTAACTACAACTGCTCTACCCGAGCCTTGCCTGTAATCCGGAATGGCATCAACATGTGGGACTTGAAGCGAAGCGAACATTAGTTCGAACCTAAACATGGCAACACTTGCAGGCCAAAGGCAAGGCGGCTGCAACAGCAAAGGAATGCAGTGACGGCACTTTCAGTTTCCCAGGGTGGCAGGTAAGCAGGAATCATGGCCTGGGCATTGCGTGCACGCTGGCAGCATATCGCACTGGATTTTCTCACCCCGTCAGCGGTAGCTGCCGTCAAGCTGCAACAGCTCACACACGGGAAGGGCCCATACACGGATTGCCTTGGTGAAAAGAAAGCAATGCAGCAATCTGCCGGGTCTTCCCAGAAATCCCAAAAAGCACCCAGAGTAAGAGCCACCCTGCCTTAAGCCGAAACGGCTTTGGCTGCAAATCCTCCCCCTACACCCTACACCCTACACCCTACACCCTACACCCTACACCCTAAACCCTAAACCCTAATCCTTTTCTGCTGAGAGGCGCGCCGTTCTAGTGTGTCATCAAGTCGACCCATTCCGCTCCTTGAGCTTGTCCAGCAAGTAGCGGAACGTGTTGCCTGGGTCGACTTAGGGTTTAGGGTTTAGGGTTTAGGGTTTAGGATTTAGGGTTTAGGGTTTAGGGCTCAAGAAGACTCAAGAGAGGCGGCTTTAGGTGCCAACGGGGCCGAGTCTCTTGATGTGGAATAGTCGGCGTCGTGAACCTCAGATGGCAAAGAAAGATGCCTTGAGCCTGCCATGTCGACTGGATGCCTACCTGTCTGCAGCCTGGTGGCGAGGCATTGAAGGACTGTCCTGTGGATGCTCTCAAGTTCCGGGCGTGAGCTGGGTTTCGGCGATTTCGGGACTGCACCGCCTGGCTGAAAATAAGTTTTAACTGATCCTCCCAGCAAGGCCGGTGGGGATGTGGGCCCGCATACCTATCAGCGGAGCACTTGTAGGTACAACTGGGCCGGTACCTTGTACTAACTTGTACTAACTTACAATCACAGACCCCCCAAATAGCCCCCCACCCCCATGTAGGACTCCTCATGCATTTCATTGGAAAAACGGTGGGATCCGGACGTGAAACCTAAACTCAACAGCAAAGTAACATAGGGGCCTTAATAATTAGAACAGTGTTTTGGGGGGCCATTATAGTAGATTCATGAAGGGGTCATAAGGGAATACTGTTCGTATTTATTCCGACCCCCCAAATTAGGCTGGCCCGCCTCACGTGCACCCTCCCCGTCAGCGAAGCCAGCAGATCTGGTAAGCCAGCTGCAGCGAGGTTCTGCTGCTGATCAAAGGGGCAGAAGACCTGCAGTGCTCTCGCAGAGCATTGGGAGAGGGTTTAGGGTTTAGGGTTTAGGGTTTAGGGTTTAGGGTTTAGGGTTCCTGTGATAGTACTACAGTTGCCGCAGAAAACCCCTCTGTGGACTGCGGAAGATCCTGTCGCTTCTGCTGCTTACTCAGGCAGACGCCATGCTTTCCACAGATGGCGCTAAAGAGCAGCTGATCCTTAGCAGAGCGCTCATCTTGGAACCCTTCTTGCGGGGTACGCTGTACCTTAACAGGGATCTCAAGAAGGACCCTACGCATGAACTCCATTTTGGGTACTTCTTAAGGGTAAGATCTCGAAAACCGGGCAGGGCGAGCCAAGGGCTTAGGTTCCGGGTTTGCGGTTTGGGGTTTCGGGCCACTTAGAGGTTCAATTGGGTAGTTCCAAGTGGGGTTTATAGGTAGGGTAACTCTAATTCGAACTGGTTATAACCTTATTTAGGGCACTTGTAATCCTACTTACAACTAACCCTGTGCCTCCCAGTAGGGCACATGTTCACAAGCTTGAAGCATCATCATGGGTTCTTTGTTTTAGGGGGTCAGGGCTTAGGATCCATGGCTATGTTTCTCGGTAGCATCTTCCTCCCTCTTCCTCTCCAGAAAGCGCCGCTACAAAGCCAGAGCCTCGCGTTCTATGGCACTTCTGCCTGAACTTCTAGCTGACCCTAAACCCTAAACCCTAAACCCTAAACCCTAAACCCTAAACCCTAAACCCTAAACCCTAAACCCTAAACCCCCAAACCCCTAAACCCCTAAACCCCTTAGAACATGGAGCCCTTAAGTCTTGTTACCGTGCTGTACTACTTGCTTAAGAACTCATAGGAAGAAAAAACACTAATCCCTATACTACCCTTATAAGGATGAATATTTTCTATGTTTCTTTTTGGGGTGGAGGGGCGGGTTCTTGAGCAATTCGTAGAATATTTATCTCTTCCTATCCCCCAGAGAAGGCGCAGCCACAAAAAGGCAGGGCAGGCAGGTATCAGGCACGACAAGCCCTCCGGAACCTTCCGCGTGAATAATGCGGTTTAGGGTTTAGGGTTTATGGCTTTAGGGTTACGGTTTAGGGTTTAGGGCCGATTCGAGATGAAGGCGCCACTGGATCACGAATTTCAGCTCCATGTCACCCCCAAATGCGCCGCAGCCCCAGAGACCGGTCACGAACTTCCTGCGGGGTATAAGGAGGGACCCCTAGAAGGGCGACATAACCCCTGTATGTACCTTATGTAGTCCTTATATTCCTAAGCAGCCCCTAAATAACCCCTAAATAACCCCTATAAGCCTAAGGCCCCTTGTCAGGGTTCCTCCTTAAGTCCCTTGACCTGTAGATTGGGATTTCCCCCCTTATACGAACAGTCCTGAACAGGGATTCTAATAGGGGGCTACTCTAATCCCCATTAAGGACTGTTAGAAAAAGGGGAACATCCCAACCCATAGACCAAAATGACAAGTGCATGTTCTGATGAAAGCCCCACCAGGCCTCCCCCCTACTGCCCCCCCACCCCATGATCGTATGTTATTCTACAGTGGGGATTGCAGGGCTGGACGGGGCCGGCAATCCCCCAATTTGCAGCCCCAACACAAAAATGTTGAGTCAAGGCATGCAAGAAAGGGTGCAAAACGATGTGGAACTCTACACGAACAGAAACCACGTACCAGGGTTTAGAAGAGAACCTAAACCCTCCCCCCCCTCTCCCGCCCCCCTCTCCCCCCCCCTTCTGCCCCCCCACCAAAAAACAAACAAAGGAAACAAAGAAATAAGTTGGTTACTACTGGGCATCCGAGTAATGCCCCGCGAGATGCCAATGCGGCGGCTCCTTTGTCCCGTCTCTTCCTCTGGCACCAGTGCTGCACAACACTTCCTGGGCCCCATGCAGCTTTCGGTCACTGGGAGATTCAGGTTTGGGGTTTCGGGTTCAGGTTCTAGAGTTTAGGGTTGCTTCCTGCCATTTTGACATGATCAACACACGGAGACTCAGGGCTCATCTTGTTTCTACTGGGTCTTAGGGGGTGAGTGTGGTTTGTGGGCAAGATGGGCTTTGGGAATGGCGCGGCAGGAGTTGCAAAGAACCCTTTCGCATCAGCCAGATTCTCTAACAGACATGGCCGGCAAGGCTCTCGGTTTGCGATGGCTTCGAAGCTCCGCCCACCGGCTGTTATACTAGAAGCCGTTCAGAACAAGTAGGCGGATAAAGGGGGGGTTTCCGAAAGTAGGGGTACCCTTTTTGGTGACAACGGGATCCTACTACTTGGGGGTCTATTTTCGGGGTCCCCTATGTTTAGTAAACTCTCAAAGTGCAAAACCAAGCTTCTGAACTTCTCGTTGTATCTGCTCCCCCGCATATTGGAAATTGCCCTTCCGTCTCCGGTAGCCTTGTCGGGGCGGTCTGCAACTCTTCAGCTCATGGCATCTGAACAGATGCCCTCAACCCTCAACCCTCAACCCTAAACCCTAAGCCGAGCTGCTCAACGCATCCAGAGCGACCTCGGCTGCTTCGAAGGGGTGGTGCCGCAGTCACTCTGCGTCCAACCCCTCGAGGCATGAAACGACCTTTGCTTGCCTACCTTAGAGTTTAGGGTTTAGGGTTGAGGGCTTAGGTTTTAGGGCTTAGGGCTACTTGGAGGTTCAGGGTAACTGTAAGTGGGGTTAGAAGTAGGGTAGCTCTTATTCTAACTTATTCAGGGCACCTATAGCCCTATCCTTCAAGTAGTGCAGGAAAAATATGAGTCTAAGCAGGTTGCTGAATTAACTTTTCTTTCTACTCGTCCAAATTGTAGGCAAGCCGCAGCAAAAATGGGCGGGCCGATGACAGGAGCAGGTCGACAGAATTGCTGCGGTCTCTGAACATGTCTTCCAGCACCCATGTTGTGATCGATAAATCTCCTCAAGCCACGCCCCCCTGTCGGGGTTACCCAGTCTCGGCTAGACTGCAAGTACCCGAATGGAGGAGCATGAAGACGCTGAAACTGAAGGTCGTGCCAGGCTGAGTGTTGACTTGCCCTTGAACACTGAAACTACCATTTCCTTAAGAGCCCCAAAAAACAAGAGACAATAATCCCTTTATTCCCCCTATAAGGAAGAGTATTGTAATTTCAGGGGGTTCTTAAGAAAAAATAGTAGTGAAGTTGAGGCACCATATGAGACCTGAGTTCGTGCTATCCCGAAGGCAGTTGTTGTCCTCGCGCCAACAATCTCGACCGCCTCATGTGGCAGCATCCTCCTGCAGAAGGAGCACGCCACTGCAAGCGCACCCTAGTCTGCTGCAGGGCTTTAGGGTCTAGCTTACAGGGCTTAGGGTCCAGTTGCTTGGGCGATTCATTGACATGCCAGGCGCCACTTGCAGGCGACTGGCAGGAGCAAAAAAAGCAGTGCGGAAACGCCGGCATTCGAATCGCGAAAGGAGGCCAAGTCACTCCACCAGGTAGATGCTCGCCAACAACTCGGGGAACTCCAGAAACATGCACTCCTCTTGCGTCCCACCTGAAGGGCGCCATGCCTTTTATTTCGCAGGCAGCACCAGATGGCACCAGCTGAATCATGCACTCGTTGGCATGGCAATGCACGTGCGGAGCTGCCGGCCTCCACTAAGAACTCCACCACCGATATATTGGTTGGCAAAATCCGCTTGCAGATGACTCGGACCTGTCCGAGCTTGGGGTTGATGGGGCAGGCAGCTGTGCTCCGTGACGGATGAACAGCCCAAGGCTCTTCGGCTCTGCTGCCATTGAGGGATTTCTGCAGCCATTGAAGGATTTACGGCTTAACCTGCTGGTTCTTGGTAGGGGAAAATGAGGGAATTAAATTGTCAATTACCCTAAACCCTAAACCCTAAACCCTAAACCCTAAACCCTAAACCCTAAACTCTACATCCTGAACCCCTGAAGCCAAGCCGAGCTTCCATCGAAGCTGTGGATGGACACGCCGTCCTGAAATATTTGAGCGTGGGAACCGAAGACATGTAGTGGGTTCATATGTATACTACCTAAAATATATATATATATACATATATGTATATACATATATATATATGTATATATACATATACATATATATGTATACATATATATGTCTGGTAACCCCCACACACACACACAGAACGAAACGAACCTCCTTTGGGGGCTAGCATATGCATTGTATGTGTGCATAGTACATGTATGAAGTAAAACCTGCAGGTTCCTGCACTACGCACTTCTACCGCAGGGAAATGCTTCCCCTCCTTGTCAGGGAAAGTTTCAAGTCAGCACTGTCTGGTTTGTTGTTTTAAACCCTAAGCCCTAAACCCTAAACCCTAAACCCCAAACCCTGTCATTAGGGCTTCTATGATTGGGATGGCCAATGGGATGGATGCAGGCTCTATCTTCTCGTCCTTCCGAGTCCTTCGAAGTTCCTGAGAGCTCTACTGGGTTTCGAGTTTAGGGTTTTGGGTCTAGGCTTGTCTCCTAGAATGCTGTCTTTGTGCAAGCCCCCGTCTCCAGCTGCATCTCCACCGGACAGAAGACTTCGTCACCAACTTGCTGGGCACCACACGCCTGGTTGGGCTTAGGGTTTATGGACTTTCTTGGCCGCACTCAGCAGGGTAGCCATAAATTTAAATTTCAGCTGCCTTATTAAGAAACCCAATAAACCCAAAAAGGCTAAGGATCTAAAGTTACAGTAAAGCACCACAGAGTTTTGGTTGTAGGGTTTAGGGGCAGCCTGGGGATGTTGCAAGTTCGCGTCCGTTCCGGGGCGCTTGCAAAGGTTTCTACTTCTACTATGGAAGCTGTATTTCATATTCGAAGACTCCTTATGGTAAACCCTAAACCCTGAACCCTAAACCCTAAATCCTAAACCCTAAACCCTAAACCCCTAAACCAAAGACTTCGCACGCCTTTCGTTTCAAGACCAAGGTCTCGTCCAGGAACTCTTTGCCTTGATCGCAGCACACTTGGGATCCACGAGGCCGCATATTGAAGGAGGGCAACTATACTTCTAACCTTTCTTTGGGTACTGATCATCCTACGTATGACTACCCATGAAACTTCGAGTACGTTCTCAGGTGCCGGGGCAAGGTAAGGGGGATACGAGGTTCAGGGTTATTCACTTTGAAAGGTATCTAAGATGCTCCAGGCCTTCTTGGCGTTCAAGACTCTCGGATGGCTAAAGGCAGAAAACCTTCCGGAATCTCAACAGTCTCCATATACGGCATTGGGCTTCGGGTTTAGGGTTTTAGGCAAGTTTTAGGGTTTAGGGTTTTAGGGTTCAGGGTTTATCAACAGAGCGTCCGTCCGCAGTCCTACCGCAAGAAAGCTGCAGACTCCCGGGGCCAGCACTCTGCTCAGACATTCCAGCGAAGTAGAGCAACACGGCCATGAGGACAAAGTTTTTCCCATCCCATTTCCTGGCATCTCGTTGGGGTTTAGGGCTTTGGGTTTAGGGTTTAGGGTTTAGGCACTTGGGGCCATTGGAGAACTTTCGATGGACTTGGGGCTTGCGTGAAGGTGGGGGGGGGGGGAGGGGGGCGGGTGTCCTTTGAGTTTTTCTGCATACAGTCGCCCTAAGTGTATTCGGTAGGCTCTTGGAGGTAGAGGGTTACATGAGACTCCGCAGTCCCAAACCGGAACGGGTAAGAGGAGCCAGCAGGGAGAGGCAAAGCAAGGGACACCCGCCGGAACGGAACAGAACTCCGGAGTCATTGGCCTCAAGAGTCACATAATTTCTTTATCCCTTATTGGATTTAAGTACCCTTAAAGATGTAAAATGTTACCCAACTATGACAAAGAAGAACTCACAAACCCCAGCTTCCCTACGATTCCATTTAGCCATGCCGATGTTGGGACTGCCCGCAAACAAGTCGTTGGCCTTCCTCAGGACAACTCGATTAAGAACCCTAAGACTCGCAGGCAAATACTTCAGAAACCCCGGCCTTCCCAACGATTCCATGAAGCTACATGCTGGATGCCTTTGGGAGAATACATTCAACAAGCATAATGTCATTGGCCAGGCCTGTCCAAATTGATAGAGCCACGACGACCCAGGATTTACGTTTACATGCGTACCTTGCCTGAGGCGAAAGGACAACTTGTCTCTACTTACTCTTATCATTAAAACTTACAGTACACTTAAGAAAGGACAACTTATCTATACTTACTCTTATTATTAAACTTACAATACACTTAAGAAAGGACAACTTATCTATACATTACTCTTATTATATAAACTTACAGTACACTTTAAAAATCCAACACTTGCTTATGACACACGTCGATTCGTGCTCTCCATGAACAGTGCTTGCGATTCATCTTCTGGGGACTGCATGTGTGTTAAAACCAAAGGGGGGGACACTGCTTGGGATTCACCATTCGGGCACCTGATTGTTTGAAAACTTGGGCGGGTGGGGGAGGGGGCTTGCGATTTGTCGTTCGGGGATTTCATTCTTCAAACATTGTAAAGGGGTACACAGGTCATGACCCCACCAAACCAGACGGACGAGACCTATGAGAACCGCGAAAACCCGAACAAAAACAGTATGTTCTAGCGACAGACGCAGGCCGATAGCGGGACATACTCTCCAACCTTAGGCCCAAAGCCGTGCCCAAAGCCTTTAGACTTCAACCCTTGAAACCCGAGATCCCAATTCATTCAGCTTGTTTCAAGCTTTTTGAATAGGGCCCGCATCCAAAATTCAAGATTGCAGATACCTGGGTAACTTTGAGTGGGGATCTCGGCCTCAAGACGCCCAAGACGGAAATCATGACCCGAAAATGACCCGAAAGTCTCCCGAAAAGCTTCGATCTTCAATCTTCATTTTCCGTCTCAAAGTTCATAAAGTTCTCAAGACGGAAACCGACGGCTGAAGATTGATGATTCCAGGGACGCTCCCAGGAGTGTGTTCGACTTCAATCTTGGGCGTCTTGCATTTTCAAGAGATTCAAGGCGCCCAAGCCCAACAGTCTCCCTGGAATCTTCAACCTTCAATATATCGAGAATAAAATTCTGAAGATTCCCTAAACCCTAAACCCCTAAACCATCCTAAACCATCCTAAACCCCTAAACGCAAAACCCGAAACCCTAATTCTTAAGACCCATGAGCCGGAAATCGAAGGCTCAAGATCGAAGATTCCGGGGTGCTCCTGAGAGATGTCGATTTCAAACTTGGGCCGCTGGAACCTTAAGCCCAAGAATATCCCGGAATCTCACGTTCAAGATGACAGCAGATGGTTGTTCTTAGACAGCAGCAGATGGTGCTCATGTTCCCTTCATCTGTGAGGTGTGGTGCTTAAGGTTTAGTTCTCAAGGTTATAGAGGGACCAATCATTAATGGTGGATTCTTCGTGGTGGTACTTCGTTCTCTTCACGCATCATGACTCCTTGATCTGGGGGAAAAGGTACTAGAATGAAGGGTCCAGATGGTAAGGCTTCATGGAGGGTCTTATAATAGGAGCTGACAGGAGAATAAGGGGGAAAGTGACAAGGAATTGATGGTTTTGTTCCTATAGGTGAAGAGATCACGTCCCGAAGGTTGGATTTCTGGGTCACTTAACGGGCCATTATGTTTACGCCCTTATAAACTACATAATAACCCAACATTGAATAAGACGTGCGTAATAATAGAATAATCTGCCCGTGTAATACTATTAATAAAGGTGTAGTGCTCACTACTTTAACTTGATGCGGAAATTACATAAACAAAAATATAGATCGTTGGTGGGTGGTGGGGGTGGGGGGGGGGGGGGGGGGGGGGGGGTAACTTAGGGGGGCGGGGTAACTCTATGGTACCCCCCCCCCCCCTCCCAAAAACAAATCCATGTTTTCATGTAATTTCCACTATATGTGTATATATGTATACATACACACACCGTAGACCCACAACAGTTCAAGCCTAAACCCAAATAAGAACAAGTAGACCCACGAGTAACCTAGGAATAGAAAGGGTGTCCTTTTGGTGTACAAGGGCCTAAACGGGAACCTAAACCTGGAAGATAAGGGAATAAGGGCCTACTCGGGGTCCTAGTTCCCCTAAACCCTAAACCCTAAACCCCAAACCCCAAAAACCCTAAACCCCAAACCCGGGCCTGCAATCGTAACACCAAAGTTTCTCGAAGCTGAAGCCCGGCAGGTCCAGACCTTCCCGCCTCCCGAGGTCTCGCGTCTTTCTTTCGGGGGGACTGGGTGGCCTGGATCTAGGGTTTAGGGTTTAGGGTTTAGGGTTTAGGGTTTAGGGTTTAGGGTTTAGGGTTTAGGCGGTTTTAGGGTATAGGGTTTAGGGTTTAGGGTTTAGGGTTTAGGGTTTGGGGCTTAGGGTTTAGGGAAAGCCCCTAATATAAAACGATGAGGCCTGAGATGATGATAGGTGGCCCTTTAGCCGAGCTGGCTATTTGGGCTAGCTTCTACCAAGAACAATGCAAAGGAAACATGAGGGGAGAATGTGGGTATCGGTTCATGTTTTCATGGCTGTCAGGATTAGAGGGCTCCAGGAAGATGAGCTATAAGGGTTTGGGGTGTCTAGGGCGCTGAACAGTTTAAAGAGTAGTCCAAAACCCCTAAACCCCTAAACCCCTAAACCCCTATACCCCTAAACCACTATACCCCTAATCCCCTCAACCCTAAACCAATAAACCCCTAAACCCTAAACCAGCAAAACGACGTATGTGAGGCTCAAGAGTGCTTGGGGACGTGGGGGCCTGGAAGAAAGTTTGCTGCAAGAATCTGGGCTGCGCTGTATCCCAGAGGGTCCAATGTATCTGCTTGGGCCTTCAGAGGGGTTTAGGGGCTTAGGGGGTTTAGGGGTTTAGGGGTTTAGGGGTTTAGGGGGTTTAGGGGTTTAGGGGTTTAGGGGCTTAGGGGGTTTAGGGGGTTAGGGGTTTAGGGGTTTAGGGGTTTAGGGTTCCTATACAATGGCTTCAGGGCTCAGACATATACGACATAGGTACATAAACCCTCAAGGGATTATTTCTACAAGGGGCTTTACGGGAACCAACAACGATCCGGGCAATCTTTAGCCAAAATGTTGACCGCCGTCCGGATCGAAACAACTGCCAGCCGACAATCCTTTGTGTGCTGTTTCGGATTGCAGTGCTCCATCGGGTGGCTTTGGGTACTTCTTTGGGCTTCTTGGTCAACGTCATCCGAAAACTGTAGGAACTGCAACATGAACACTGAAGGGCCCAAAACAGCTCGCCTTAACCCTCCCTAACGAAGCTTAAAAGCCCATCTTTGCGTCCCTTCCCCATGCCCTTCCCTGCAGCCGGATGCCTGCTGTACCAGTCCCTCTGGAGGAAACCAAAGAACCCCGCAGCCAAGATTTCCAAGCACTGCAGTCTCGACACCGTCAGCCTGGAGGACAGTGTGTTGAACCGCTACGGTTTTGGACGAACACCGAACGATTGCAGAAAAGCCTAAGTCTGAGGCAGCTGACTTTTTGACATGCGCCCTGAAAACTGAGCTGAATATCTCACCCAACAATACACCTCCTCGTGTTCAAGCCTAACGCCCGAAGCATCCAACATGCTTGGCGGTCCTGGTGATGGAAGTCTGCCCGGATGCCGGCTGCTGCTGCTGCCTCGACCCAAGCGATAATGAACCCTAAACCCTAAACCCTAAACCTTAAACCCTAAACCCTAAACCCTAAACCCCTAAACAATATGACATAATGACTTCAACCCCAAGCACTGGACCGGGTCTCATGGCCTCTGAGCCTGTGCCCCGCCTTGGGCCGGTCTACTCATCAAGATATGCAATATCCACGAGTATGCCATTGTCTCAAGGAGAACCCATACTGGGGATCTAGGGTGCTGGACACTTAGACACCCCCCCCCCCCCCCCCCCAAAAAAAAAACCCAAACCCTGTGCCCACCATCACCATCCTCCCCAAACCCTCGTGATCCGTAGTGACCCGCCCTGCACCCAGGTCCGAAACAATCCCCTGTCTTAATGCCAACAAGGCTCTGGATCGAAAACCTCAGAAAACACGTGAGAACTTATCGGTGGATCTGGGGTCTTCGGGCTTTCAGGTTTGCCTTATTTTGCAAACGCCGCCACACAGGATGTGCGTGGCAGTCCACGCTTAAGGTTGACTTCTGATCAAACCCCCAAGCATCAAGTGGGTAATACAACTGCGCCACATCACAAAATCAAAGTTTGAGGGAGAGCGAGTGCTGACACTGCTTAATCCTAAAGCATCCTGATCCTTGGACCGTTTACCTTGAACCCTACACTTTACATACTCCAGACTTTTGACATCGGCCTCGATTTGGAGTCGAGTTTGGGCGCTTCTTTTGCGGCCGTGGGGATTGGGGGCGGAGGTGAACTTGCCGGCGTAGTTATACCTAGTAGACCATAACATTGACAATGCGTGAAACTCTCATGAGTATATATGTACAGTACTGGGAGAACTTGCTAGCAAAGCTTGACTCCTCCGGCCGACATTTATCCGGCAGATACAGCTGGCTGCTTGAATCCTCATATCAGATACAGATACACTGGGGTAGGTTTGGGGGCCCTGTAAAAACCAAAGTTTATGGCTTTGTAAGGATTACCTAGGGGATTAAGGGTACTAAACAATACACAATGAGCCTTTTTATGGCTTGGTAGGGATTACATAGAGGATTAAGGGTTATAAAAACCGAAAACATCATGTTTATGGCTTTGTAAGGATTGCATAGCGGATTCAGGGTAATAAAAAGCAAACAACTATGCTCAAACCTACCCCTGGTACAGATAGGCCGCCTCTGCAAGAGCTCGAGTAGATGAGGATTAGGGTTTAGGGTTTAGGGCTTGGGGTGTAGGGTTTCAGGTAGAGAGAGTGGAGAGTCCGTTTTTCGGCCATGGTCGCGCGCAACAGTTTCGGTTCAGGTGGTAAAGTGTTCCGCGGGAAGGCCTGCAATCGCACACACACTTTGGCTTGGCATGAACTGATGCAGTGATCACGGTACCAACATGTACCAACCACCAGACCCACAACACACTCAAGAGGAGTCAAGAAGAAGGGAAGAATGAAAAGGAGCATGGTTGCCTGTCTCGGGACTTCAGGGTACATGATGTCACAAGCAGTGTGGTATCTCACTCTACATGCAGGTACGTCCAGGTGATCAGCCTGGATATCCTCCCAACTCATAAGCAGCTTCATTGGCAGTGAGCTTATGAGCGGGTCACTGCCCCCTGCAAATGGAAATGTCAATCACAGCGATCACCATGTTCAGGCGTTTACACACACACACGCCCCGAAGGGCGAAAAGGACGCGAAGAAGCAAGCAGGTGTCAGCAAGCCAGTCATGAACAGCAACAAGAGATCAATGACATGTCAGTTTAAGGATTCCGGATACCTTGAGCGCGTGCCTACCTGGTCCTCCTACCTGCACGTGCACAGACGATCTACCTGCACTCCTAGGGAAAGCACATGTTCAGCAAGCTGTCTCTACTGATCAACCCTTGACCGCGGCCCTTGACCGTGCAGTGACCGATGATCCCGATGAAGCCCACTGTGGGCACATGTCATCCTACTGCAGATGATCCCGATGGATGAGAACAAGCGTCTGCAACGTTGTGATTCACTCATCCGCTATCGCGGGCTCGGGCACATGCCCCTGAGATCTGGCCCCATGTCGGGAAAAACCAGAACTGGTACACACTTTGGCTTGGCATGAACTGATGCAGTGATCACGGTACCAACATGTACCAACCACCAGACCCACAACACACTCAAGAGGAGTCAAGAAGAAGGGAAGAATGAAAAGGAGCATGGTTGCCTGTCTCGGGACTTCAGGGTACATGATGTCACAAGCAGTGTGGTATCTCACTCTACATGCAGGTACGTCCAGGTGATCAGCCTGGATATCCTCCCAACTCATAAGCAGCTTCATTGGCAGTGAGCTTATGAGCGGGTCACTGCCCCCTGCAAATGGAAATGTCAATCACAGCGATCACCATGTTCAGGCGTTTACACACACACACACACACACACACACACCCCCTAAACCCTAAACTCTAAATCCTAAACCCTATTACCTTAAACCCCAGACACAAAGAAAGAAGCCATCAATGGTTCAGGTGGTAAAGTAAAGACCTTTTCAGACAAGAGCAAAGGCAGGGCCGTGTGCTGAAGACCGCTTGGAGAGGGCTCCCCCTAAACCCCGAAGTCATGGGGCTTAAGAGCTTGTAGGGGTCTAGGGTTTAGGGTTTAGGGTTTAGGGTTTAGGGCTAGGAGCCTTGGGGCCACAAGGTTGAAGTGGCTGAGAGTCGCAATGAAGCCCAGCGGCGCTTCAGGCTTGCCCTGCACGGGTGAGTCCGGATTTGAGGCTGCCTCCAACAGAACCTTCCCAGGATGGGCTCTTAGGGTTTAGGGTTAGGGTTTAGGGTTTAGGGTTTAGGGTTTAGGGTTTAGGGTTTAGGGTTTAGGGTTTAGGGTTTAGGGTTTAGGGTTTAGGGTTTAGGCTTTAGGGTTTAGGGTTTAGGGTTTAATCAACCCTATCAAAGGGCCTTTTTAAGGGGTAGTGGGGGATAATAGCCCGTCCTGGGCAAGACCAAGGTTTGGGACGCCTTAGCTAATTTGGGGTTTAGGAGTTTCGGGTTTAGGGTTATAAAACTTCATGTGCCTTATCTTTTCACGGGGGGCCGAGGTTAGGAGCTTGAGGGTGCAGGCAAAGTGACTGTTTGGGGAGGTTGGAGGGTTGCAAAGTTGCGATGGGTTGCGGGGCTATTGTCTCATGGAGTCGAGAAAGGTTCCCTCATTCCAGGGTAAAACCGGGTCACCTGCAACACGGCATCTGGAATTTGGCCTCGCCTTCTCGCATAACGTTGACCACATACTGAGAATTCCCCCCCTCCCCACCCTGATTGAGCAAGTCCAATTCCTAGAGCTGATAGCACAATGCTCCTCGGCCGAATTACCCGAAAACAAAAAGCTGCTTCCTTCAATCGTGGTCACGAGAACTCCTGCTTGTACTCTAGAGGCTTACTCTGGCAACAGGCAGCTCCGGAAGTTTCTGATTGTGGAGCTCCTGCCCTATGTACAAGCTTGCGTGGCCGGGGGGGGGGGGGGTTCGAAATAGAACGTTAGCAAGCAGCACACAGGCAATGTGGGTTTCGGGTTTAGGGTGTAGGGTTTAGGGTTCGCCGCGCTTGCGCCTTGGCCGCAGTGGCGAGGCCGTTGATCACGGAAGCTGTTGCCCTCAACGCGTGCAATCCAGCACATGTGGGTGCTACGAAAGCTGTAAAATGCGAAAGCAGCATGTGGCAGCCAAACTAAAAACAGTGGCCCAGACTGTGTGCTGCCCTCTGCTTCAGCCTCTGAACTGCAAGCCTCTACAGCACATGGACGAGCGGTGGCTAAAGTCTCGAACCTGGGCAGGTCGACAAACAGGTCTTGGATGGCGCTGTCCAGCCCACAAAGACCTGCACCATATAACTGTTTCATCAATCATATGTGGGCCCTCACGAACTGCCACTTTGCTTGCTTCCACGTTGCTCAAGAGGCTAGCCCCAGCTTAGAAACCCTTCTGTTGATGCTGAAGCCCTCTATCCCTTGGCATCCTAAATTTAACCTTCCCCCCCCCCCTCCCCCCCCAACCAAAAAAAAACACACAAAAACAAAGCAGCAACGCGAACTATGTCGGAAAGCGGAGGAGCCTTCGACGAGAAGCCTAAACGCTGAAAAGCTGAGCCGCTTCCCAAGTCGGGAGACCGCGCATTGGAGTGGATCACTCCTCGGGGGAACTCAACTTCTAAGGCGTCGCTTCTTATATATATATATATATGCTTCTATGTATATATACATACACGTTTATATCTGTCTGTACATATATATGCTTCCATATTTGTTATTGTTTGTTTAGTGTGTTTTTTTTCTTTTTTTTTTTTGGGGGGGGGGGGGGGCGTGGGTGGAGGGGTGTTGGGGGGTGAGTGGGAGCAGGTCGCAGTCTGTTGCATCAAACCCTGAAGCGAAGGGAGGTGGGCGGCTGTTCTTAATGAGGACCTCCTTGTAGTCGCCTTCCAAGGGAAGGGTTGTTTAGGGTTTAGGGTTTAGGGTTTAGGGTTTAGGGTTTAGGGTTTCCTACGTGTTCATGGGTTGGCGGTGGGGCTTTCGTTGTCTGCTTGGGGGGGGGGGGGGGGGGAGAAAGGCTGCCAGCTTTACGGAGAACCTGAATGATGCAAGTAAAGATTTGGGTTTCCGACATTAGGGGGGGGGGGGGGGGGGGGAGGAGGTTACCTTATTGGTGTCCTGACGCTAAGGGGATCCCACGATGTGGGGATCCATATTGGGGGTCCACTATTTTCGTCAGTCCCCATTTCCTGCGGTGTAATTAGCACAATAACATATTAACTAGTAAGCCAACAATTAAACTTTTCAGAATTATTCTTACAATATTTGAATTTTTTGAAATATAACTTTTTTTGTGTTATGTATAAATAAACCTTTCAATTTACAGAATACGAAAATATTTTCATAAAGTTAAAATGAAAAATATTGATACATTCGAATCATACTTAAAGATGTTTTACATGATCAAAACCCTAAACCCTAAACTCAAGGCTTACAACACCCCCCCCCCCCCCCTCCCCCCACTCTGGGGCTCACACGCCCGGTTGTTTAAGGTTTCCCAATAAGGTACCCAAGCCGTAGACTTGAGGGGCTTTTTGAGGGGTTGCCCAAATGAGCCTGCAAGCCCCGTAAACATCTGTCAGACCCCAAAACCTTCCTGGACCTGCAAATTCGAGCCTTCCTGGAACCCCAACCAGCCTGCCACCCCTGGCACCACCCCCGAATTCTGCAACCCACCCCCCCCCCCCCGCCCCCGCCCCACTCTAATTCAGGACGAAGAAGTGCTTTTGGTAGGCGATTGAATTGAGTTTAGGCTAAAGCCTTAGAAAGGAAAAGGTGGCTTGGCTGCCTGAGACAGCGTGGGTGGGACAAAAGCCTGAGATGGCCCTCCACAATCGTGCCATGGCTGCTCTTCGCATGTCTCGGAGATTTCGAAGCTACTCATAGTACCAACCCTCACAACTTCTGCGCCATAGAATAGCAAGCCCGGTACCCTATATAAGCCCTAAACCCTAAACCCTAAACCCTAAACCCTGAACCCAGTAAAGCCATGTCCAAGGCGCGGGATGCAGCGGCCACGAGCTCTGCAGCCCCCAGGCCAGGGGCCTGGAGACAAAGGCTTGGGTTTGGGTTTGGTGCTTTAGGGGGTTGAGGGTTTGGGGTTTAGGGGTTTGGGGGTTTAGGGGGGTTTAGGGGTTTTAGGGGTTTAGGGGGGAGGGGTTTTAGGGGTTTAGGGGTTTTGGGGGTTTGGGGGTTTGGGGGTTTGGGGGTTTGGTGCTTAAGGGGTTCAGGGTTTGGGGTTTAGGGGTTTAGGGGGTTTAGGGTTTAGGGTTAGGGGGTTTAGGGGTTTAGGGGTTTAGGGGTTTAGGGGGTTTGGGGATTTGGGCGTCTGGGGGTTTGGGGGTTTGGGGGTTTAGGGGTTTGGGGGTTAGGGGTTTAGGGGTTGAGGGGTTTGGGGGTTTAGGGTTTAGGGGTTTGGGGGTTTAGGGGTTTAGGGGTTGAGGGGTTGGGGTTTGGGGTGTTTGGGGGTGTGGGGGTTTAGGGGTTTGGGGGTTTAGGGGTTTAGGGTTTAGGGTTTGGGGGTTTAGGGGTTTAGGTGGCTAGGGGGCTAGGGGTTGAGGGTACAGAGAGGTCCCATCTTCTAAGGGCGCCCTCAAGTTTTCTCGGGGGAAAGAAGCTGGGAAGCAGGGGGCCTTCGGTGTTGGGCGCTTCGGCACTAGGCTTCGGTTGAGGGCTTTTTGAAAAGTTGCAGGGTTTAGGGTTTGGGGCTCAGGGCGTAGTAGGTTGAGGATTCGGGGACGTGCAGGGCATGGCTTGGAACGGATGCCAAGGAACGCTAAACCTCCCCATGCCGGCAAGAAGACGACAGAACCTCCACCTGCACCGAAGCCCCTGAAACCCAAAGCCAAAACCCTGCCTTGAGAATGTATAAGTATGTATATCTATATCTATATCTATATCCATATCTATGTCTATATATATATATATCTATCTACACACGTGTTTTTTGCATACTAAAGTCTGGTCGTTTATGCACGATGTGTGCATATACATGTGTGTGAATTTGTCATTCTGCTTGCTGGTTGATTCCCTGCATTGCATTATCCTACACAAGAACTGAACCATAAACAGCCTTCTGCCTGCAGGTCGGACAGGAACTTCTCCAGCATCGTTGTGACCAGAGCCATGAGCCGCAGAAGGCTAAACAGCCGAGAAAACCCAAACACAACCGCAAAGCCCTGAGCCTGGGTTTTCCCGGGTTTAGGGTTTAGGGTTTAGGGTTTAGGGTTTAGGGCTTCCGCGTTTGCAGCCCCATGTCTGTGGGAGTCGCCGTCGCGCATTTTGGCACAGGTAGCTTAACCGTACTGCGTGGCGGCTAGATGACCAAATTCAAGCATCCACAGCCAAATGGTGAACCACCTCTGGATACTTGGAGGTTCATGGGTAGATATACGTGGGGCTGTGAGTAGGGAAACAATACTTATAACAGGTTATAACCTTACTCAGGGTACTTATGCCTACCATGCACCGTCAAGTAGGCTTCCCACTTGACAGGGCTGGAGGGTGCGCAAGCCATCCGAACTGAGATGCCGCAGAGTGCCACGGTGAACCGACTGCCATTGCACATGCCCAATCACGGACATCTAAACTAAACCGAAACCCCCCTGAGCTTCAATTCCGAAGCAGCAAACCCCAAACCCTCCAGCGCTCAAACAGCTCCAGCCCCAAATGCAGAAACAAAAGCATCTCAGGCCCAAAGGAGCCGATTCCTAGATCCACAGGGGCTGGCTAAACGACTAAGCAAGAAGGACCTGCAACACGCTCAACTTGCTCTGGGAACTCGGCGTGCCCCATCGTAGTCCCTTGGAAGAACCCCAATTTCCCAACTATTTCTTACCCGAACCTCATCCAGGAGGAGGATGGAAGGATTGGCCATGATCGCCTGGTTATGGTCTCAGGGATCGTAGGATGTAGGGCTTGGGTTTCGGGAACCGTCGGTACAACACGAACGCGTCCAACCGCAACGATGCTTCCCAACAGAGGCGGCTTGAGTGCGACCCTGACTTTCCAGGGCCCATCATGTCCAGAAGAGCTGCTGGCTGCGCAGCAAACGGAAAATTGGAACCTAACCCTATAGACCCTAGCAAAACCAAACCTTAAACCCTAAACCCTGAACCCCAAACCCTTTTTCCCCCAATCCTCTCACGAGGATCCTCCGACCCACTGCGGCCAGAAGACACGCGCAATGGCCACGCGCTGCTTCTGGCCTGCAGCCAATTGCTTAAGAACCCCGGGCTGGGGGGGTGGCTAATTGCTTAAGACCCCCAAAAACTCAAATATATTCTGCCTTCTTGAGGGTAATGTATGGATCATTAGTTTTTGTTTCTTTTCTGGTTCTCTTAATTAAATACCCCCTCTAACTATAAAAAAAACACACACACACACTTTCCAGAAAACCCTGCCGAAACCGACCCCGCCTTTTAAAGCCTCTTCCGAACTAGGGGGTGGGTTGAGAGCTCCCAAAAGCCTCAAACCAACCAACATCCTGAAGCTCCCTTCCCTCCCTTCCCTCCCTTCCCTCCCAGCCCTCCCTTCCCTCCCCGACCTAAACCCTAAACCCTAAACCCTAAACCGTGAGCTGTCTGTGAGCCTGGCTCTCCACAGCCTACCTCACTACTCTTACGATCTAATGACAGATCTTGCCTGCCTGTCTGTCTTGCTTTAAGGGTTTAAGGCTTAGGGCCAAGGGTGAAGGGTGTAACTATTAGAAGGGCTCTTACAAGGGTCTTACAAGGGCTTTAAGGCAGGAAAGCTGGCTTACACCCAAATTAATGAAGTAATTACTTAAACCCTCCAAACCCCGAAGCCTAGACCCTAAACCCTTTACGTAATGCTTGGATAAAGACATCCCCCTATTCATAGCAACGCATTTCGAGTTTCTATTGGGGGCGGGGGGTAGATATTAGGGGGAACGGCTTACCCCTTAATTAAGGAATATTCCTTAAATCATAATAAGGATCCCTTTTCATTTAAGGTATATTCCTTGACTAAGGGGTATTGGGCTCTCTGGGGACACGACAGCAGCTTCTTGTGAATCCGACGTCCAGACCCTGCCTTACTCGAAGCCCTGACAGACGTTCCACTAGCACGGCAGCCGCTGTGCTCCAGCTGCTCAAGCTAGGGTTTAGGGTTTAGGTTTACGGTTTAGTTCGGGTTTAGGGTTTAGGGTTTGGTGTAGGGTTTAGGGTTTAGGGTCTCTATGACCGTTCTCATCCTGTTCTTGCCAAGTCCCCTAAACCCTGTAGACCCTAAAACTGTGTTTTTCAATTGCCCACGGCCTCCGCTTAGCTGGATGCCCCGCTCGCCCACGAGTGTGTTCTCAGCGCAGCAGAGGTTTAGGGTTTAGGGTCTAAGGTTTAAGGCGTCGGGTTTAGGGTTTTGGGTGTATTGAATGGAGGCTACGGAGATGTCAGTTCTCACAATGATGGTCCCCTTTCGGGTGCCCTAACTATTAGGGGTCGCCTTATAGTAGCATCCCCAAAAGGGACGAGAAGTTTAGAGAAGTGAGCATATGGGGCTTCGTGAGTTTGTGTTCTAGAACACCAAGAAAGATCCCGAATTCCGACCCCAATGCAACAGCCAAGGGATCCTCCAGGATCCGCCAGGACTGCAATATAGGGGCCTGAATAATTAGACAGGGTTTTGGACCCTCACGGAGCCATGACAAGCACTCCAAAATCCCCAAAAGCCTCAGCGCCAGCTCGAAATCTCAGGGTTCAGGGTCGAGCACCTACCTGAACTACCTTGGCCCCCCCCCCCCTCTTAAACGCTCTGAGAAGCAATGAGGGGAAATAGAAAGAATTGCCAAGTAAAGCCTGCCACCCGACTGGGAGGTTCATGGGTCTAGGTGCAACTATCTAAGGTTGAAAAACCATGGTCCCTTAGTCTGGTCCCTTGCCTTTGCTGCTAGGGATCCGGAAGTATGGGCCCTTATTATGTAGAGTGTAAACAAGCGTTAGGTAACAAAGGACCAAATTAAGGGCCCATATGTGGAACCTTAGGAAGTAGGGCTTCAAAGCTCAAGGCCTGTAGGTTTGCGGGGTTTAGTAGGTCAGGCTGTTGTATGCTAGGTCCTTAGGTTTGTGGAGCCACGCCACGTAGCCATCCGTGAAGTCTGCGATGAAGCCATGACCTCACACGGGTATGAGGTGCCCCATTTACACTTTAGGGTTTGTAGGATCTGGTATCGGGAACGGCTTGAAGAATGCTTGTAGGCAACAGAGGATAACCGATGACTCTGACCGCAAGATGCAATGCAATAGCTGTCTGCCGCAGAGCTCCGCGATTCTGGCCTAGAACTAACCTCTGAACGAATGGGCCACGACGAAGGATAATTGAGCATCCATCCAGAAAGGCTTCAAGCAGACAGGCCAAGACGTCAACCTATACTCCCCTTAGAACCTTAATAACAAATCATCTGTTTGTTATTCCTATGGGTTTTGAATTGCCAAGGGGGCTAAAGCAACAATTCTGTTCGATCATGCTGAGCTTGCAGCAGTTTGCCAGCTTCGCGGCTTCCATGAGCTTCGTCTCGTCGATCTCCTGCGCAGGTGTTCGGACCACAAGTTATAAGAGAGCCGACACAAGATTCCCTGAGCTGCAGTTGAGGGTTTGGGGTTTGGGGTTTAGGGCTGTGAAGCCCTAGATCAGTGCAGCCCACAAGGTCCTCGACCCCGAAGGCAATGTTCTCTCTGGCGCTGATGGCGAAGAGGATTGGCTCCTTGGACAGGGCGTGCCCGCGTAGGAGGGTTTAATTTTCGGATGTTCCCCCTTATACTAACAGTCCTTAGTAGGGATCATCGTGGGGGGGTACTACTATTTCCATTAGGGACTGCTAAGTATAAGGGGGGACATCCCAAGCACTGGTACCCTAAACCCGAAATCCCAAACCCTAAACCCTAAACCCCCAAACCCCAAACCCCAAACCCTAAACCCTGAACCCTAACCCCTAGACCCTTAAGCATTTTTGAAGTGAGTAGGCGCCCCCGTGCGAGGACTAAGCTTCGAGCCTGTGAGACCACGGCAATGTGGCTGCGAAGGTAGGAGTACTTCAGCTGCTTGACCTCGGAACCCTTTAGGGTTTAGGGTTAGGGTTTGGGGTTTTGGGTTTTAAAGCAGCATGCAGGTCCTCCGAGCTCACTCTCGTGCAAAGCAAGGCATGAATTGGGGCGTGGAGTATCCCTAAGCCGGGACCACAGGAAAACATTTGTTGTGAGGTTGAGAAAAAGAAAAAACTATGTAAGATTTGGTATAACCCAACAAACGGGAAAGTATGTCACACAGGAGCCTGAAAAAATTGAACCGAAAGAATTACAATACAAACTACCAAAACGGCTGCTCTTCACATCACTGCGGATCCCTGGCTTGAGGTAAATCCCTCTCATCCCTTACCCAGACCTGGGAAGATCCAACAAGTAGAGCCCCCAAATAGTAGCCCATGCTACTATCGGGGCAGTTTTAGGAACCCTTATACCGGGATCCTCCCAAACCTGTGGGTACAAAACCTTTCAAAATCCCTTCATCCACCCTACATAAACCTTCAGCCCTAAAGCCTAAACCCTGAACCGTTAACGCCCTAAACCCTAAACCCTAAAACCCTCAAACCCTCAAACCCTAAAACCCTAAAACCCTAAAACCCTAAAACCCTAAACCCTAAAACCCTAAAACCCTAAAACCCTAAAACCCTAAAACCCTAAAACCCTAAAACCCTAAACCCTAAAACCCTAATTTAGGGTTTTGTAAACCCCAAACCACAAACCCTAAACCCTAAACCCGAAACCCTAAACCCTAAACCCTAAACCCTAAACCTTCGCTCCGAAGCCTCTCAGGTCTAGCTGTCCAGCGAGCCGCATCGACGTCGTCGATCTTCACCGAGCCCTCCTGACACGGTTTAGGGTTTAGGGTTTAGGGCTTAGGGCTTAGGGCTGACGGTTTGGGGTTTAGGGAATAGCGTTTCGGGTTTAGGGTTTAGGGCGGTGGGCTTACGGGTTTCTCTACTCCCCTTAGAACCTTAATCTGCAAATATTCCCCTGAATTTTATGTACTTTCAAAGGGAGCTATAGGTTTCTTGTCCATGGGGCAAAAACTGATTGTTTTCTATCTGGACTGAGCATGGAATAGTGGCAAGCCTTCGAAACATGTCTGGCTGGGGTCTCAGTAGGGAGTGAGGAATGAGGTACCCTATGTGGCCCTTACAGGGCATGTATGTGCCCTAATTCCCTCATTCCCTACTAAGAACCAGTGGGACTAAGAAGCAGCGGAGGGATGAAAGCAGGGCTTCGCCGGAGTGCGACGTGCTTGAAGGTTCATATGGGTAGTAATACGTGGAGTTAGAAGTACCCTAAGCAGGGTTATACCCCATTTATAGCTATAGTTACCCTCATGACTCATAACCCTACTTAAACCCTCAACCCTAAATTTTAAACCCTAAACCCTAAACCCTAAACCCCAACCCCCCCCCCCCCCCCCCCCCCCCACACAGGCACTTCTAGAACTCCCTCCTGGCCGGGCGCGAGTCTTGGGAACGCTACCAGACTACCATTCGCTGAAGAGCCCCCAAACAAACAAAAAAACAAGAAAAAACCTTTATTGCCCTTCTAGGGAATACTTTTTTTTTTTGGGGGGAGGGGGTTTCTTAAGCAAACAGTAGCCGAACCGATGCCCTGCCGATGTGTGGCCTGGCAGTCGTAGAGCCGCTGCAGGAGCGAGACGCAGCTGCTCTTGCCGCTGCCGGACTGCCCCACAAGTGCGACGACCTCGCAAGAGACCCCAAACAAAAGACTTACTGTTGGTTAGCAAAGGTACCCAAAACAAAAAAAGAATATATATATATATATACATATACATATATATATATACATATATATATACATAAATAAATAAATTAATAAATAAATAAATAAATATATATATATATATACACCCTTTAAGGGGTTATATAGGGCCCGACTTCCCTCATTCCCTGCGAACCAACAGTAAGAACCATGGGCCACATCCTGACAGTTAAGGCTCAGGGCACACGAATGTTCGCGCCTTGCTACGGCAAAAGGGACCGGCTTTTTCTGTCAGAAAATCCTGGATGTGCCGGTTTGAAGGTCCCAGGCTAAAGTCTGCGCGCTGAGGAAGGAAGCTGCAGGTACTCTGAGGCGACGCAGAAGAGGCAAGTACTGTAGTAGTCAAGCCTATGCACCACAAACCCGAAACCACCAAAGACTGGGAATAAATAAAACAAGAATGTATCCGTGCATATATCTGTTTATACAAGTATACTATATCTACACATTCTCGCGTATTTAGACTATCAAGAAAATCCCCTGGTTCTTCGTAGGGAAATGAGGGAATTCGGGCCAAAAAACACCCTTTCAAAAGGGACTATAGAGGGCACCTCGTTCCCTCCTTCCCTACTCAGAACCAGCCAGAAACTATACTCCCCTTAGAACATTAATAAAAACAATATTTTTTAATATCCTCTTGGGTTTTACTCTAAAAAAATTTTAAAAACAATTCCCAGTGGGGGATATAGGAAAAGCGAGGCATCCGGCCTGGTTGGGCTCTGCAGTGAAGCTGACGTTCTTCAAGACCTGCTGGTCGGGTCCTTGGGCTGTCTCTCGGCTTCTCAAGATGCTTTACAAGCATACCTAGGGTTTAGGGTTTAAGGTTTAGGGTTTAGGGCCCCTTCTTGGCCCTAGAAATGCTGGGGTTTAGGGTTTAGGGTTTAGGGCGTGAAGCTGACCCTCATGGATCGAGAATAGTCATCACAGAGGCCCCGGCACTCTACGCGGAGTTCACGGGCCCTCTACGGACCCTAAACCCTAAACCCTAAACCCTAAACCCTAAACCCTAGTACGGGAACCACGGGCTGGAGAATGGTCCCGCTCGATTGACCGGCCTGCTCCATTTCTCAAGTCCGCGGCCCGAAGTCTGGGCGCCCAACGGGTGACGTAGGAAAATGAGACGTTCTGGAACTCGACCTGCCATGCAGGGCTTTTTTATCCTTAAGCCTAAGCCGAATGGGGTTTGGGGTTTAGGGGTTTAGGGGTTTAGGGTTTAGGGTTTAGGGTTTAGGGTTTAGGGTTTAGGGTTCATAGTTCCCAAGAGCCGAAGGGTTGGGTTTCTATCTCTCTCGAGGTGGGAGGCCAGTTGCCACCCCGAAGCCCCTTGGAACCGCCGGAATGGAACGGCACTTGATCATCTTTGTCTTGCTGGCTGTTGGGGTTGCACAGTTGTGTTACTTTAGAAGGTGACTTCAACAGTCCATGTAGAGGAATTGCCCTAAACCCGAAACCCTAAACCCTTAACCCTAAACCCTTAAACCCTAAACCCTCAACACAAACAGAACGGTGGGTTGAGGGCCTTTAGCGCCGGTTTGCCATCGGGTTTTGGCTCGGGTCACACGGAGTACGTGCGCCGCGACTGAAAGCAGAATCGACCTCCCGACCACCCGCAACCTCATGGCCACCCCCCCCCCCCCCCCCCCCCGCAACGCTGAACCCTAAACCCTAAACCCTAAACCCTAAACCCACAAACCCTCAAGGCCCTCTTGGAGGTTCATGGGTAGCTACAAGTGGGGGTGAAAAGGGAAGGGCGACTTTAGGGTTTTAGGGGTTTAGGGTTTAGGCTTTAGGGTTTAGGGTATAACTGGCTATAACCAAACTTAGGGTACTTATTTAACCCACTTATAAACACCCGTGAACCTTCAAGTACCCCAATTCAACCCTAAACCCTAAAACCCCATAAAACCCCTCAACTCCCTTAACCCCCCCCTAAACCCCCTAAACCCCCTCAACCCCCTAAAACCCCTAAACCCCTAAAACCCCTAAAACCCCTAAAACCCCTAAAACCCCTAAAACCCCTAAAACCCCTAAAACGCCTAAAACCCCTAAAACCCCTAAAACCCCTAAAACCCCTAAAACCCCTAAAACCCCCTACACCCCCTAAAACCCCAAACCCTAAACCCTACTTACATAACTACCCAGATGAACCTTCAAGCTACCTGGCCTTGCCCCTGCAGTCTGCGGGCTCTACCTGGCCTTCGACCTGTGCCTGAGATGGGTTCAGGGCCGTGCGGCTGAGGGTTTGGGGTTCTAGGGTTTCAGGGTTTAGGGTTTTAGGGTTCTAGGGTTTTAGGGTTTTAGGGTTTTAGGGCTTTAGGGTTTTAGGGTTCTAGGGTTCTAGGGTTTTAGGGTTTTAGGGCTTTAGGGTTTTAGGGTTTTAGGGTCTTAGGGTTTTAGGGTTTTAGGGCTTTAGGGTTTTAGGGCTTTAGGGTTTTAGGGTTTTAGGGTTTGGGGATTTAGGGTTTAGGGTTTTTAGGGTTTAGGAAGCATGGTGCTGAGTTGGTGGACTGTGGCTGTGGTGGATTTGTGCTTTTTCCAATAGGCAATAGGGAGTTGTGAGCTCAGAAAAAGGGAACCATGAACGATCCTTGACACGGCTCACAACTACTAATTGCTTAAGAACCCCCAGCCCCCCGCCCCCCCCCCCCCAAAAAAAAAAAAAAAAAAACTTATAAGGGCAACATACGGATTATCATTCTATTTTTTCGGGCTTCTTAAGCAACTAGTAGACAAGGTCTAGCACCCTAAACCGGCCGCCCCGCCTTTAGTCCGGTTGCTGGGCGAAGGGGCCTATGGAGAGGAGCATTCCCACACGAAACATTCTAGGATGGCCCAGAAAACCCTCTGTGATCCGTTTAAACCCAAGAAGGGAGAACACAAAGTGCCCAAAAGGGACCACCTAGCAGCAACTTCGACCTATGCAGAAGCTGTCATCTCTCTGAAGGCTACTAATTTCATAAGAACCCCCAAGACAATAAAACTATTCTTCCTTATAAGGGTAATATAGTAGGGATTATTATTTCTTAATAAGACTATTCTTCCTTGTAAGGGCAATATAGGGATTATTATTTCTTATTCTTTTGGGTTCTTAAGCAACTAGTAGCTTAAGGTAGGCGCAGGACGGTGGGAAGATGCCAGGCTCAGTCCCTCACCTACATCCAGGCCCGGGAGTAGCCAAGGAATAAAAGGGTGCCCTTTTTGGTTCTAAGGGGATTAGAAGGGAACCCCAACCCTAAAAAAAGAGAAAAAAGGGCCTACTCCGGGTCCTAGTTAAGGTAGGCAGGACGGCCAGGAAGATGCCAGAACTCAGTCCCTCGCCTACATTGTGCGCGAACGCTCTGAAGGGACTTCGACTACGAAAATGCTGCTTCGTTTTCCCATGCTCCTACCTGGGGGCGGGGGGGACTCAGACAGCCTAAGCCCTAAACCCTAAACCCTAAACCCCAAACCCCAAACCCTAAACCCTAAACCCCAAACCCTAAACCCTAAGCTGCCACCGCAGCACCGGCTCCCGATCGATGATCTCGAAGATCTTGACCGTCGCGCCAATGGCTGACGCAAAGCTGGGCATGAGGCCTGAAACCCAATGTGGCCAAAAAGCCTTGGGGTAGCTTAGGGTTTAGGGTTTAGGGTTTAGGGTTAAGGGTAGTTACATGGTCCCTTAGTCGGGATTAATCGGGACCCCTTCTATACCCCTTATAGACCCCATACAACCCAAGGGCCCATACGTGAGAACACTCTAGAGAAGGTACGGGGGCCACATGCAGGGCCCATGTAACTACCCTTAGAAACAAACAAAGCGTAACCAAGCCCTAAGCCCGATTCCGCAAGTTCTCTTCATGGTTTAGTAGGTGCCCCCAGGCATGAGCCAGGTGTCGCAACTAAGTATGGAGCCACGACACTTGAGAGCAAGGGTAGGGGGAACATGTGCGTGGTTCGGTTGATGAGATCAGCTGCAGTTATGTCTGCAGGGGCAGCCTAGACATATCAATGAATCAAAGCTACGCTCAGCATGCTCCTTCTGAGATGACAGGAATGACAGTTGTCCTCATAGCAACTCTTGTTTTCATCGCGACGTGGCACGGAGCTCACAAACAACACAACTCTTCGAGCTTGACACACTATCAGGTACAATGAGTGGCTTCTGATGTTGCAGCAACCTTTCTTGCAGACCCAGCTAATATAGGGGCCTGAATAATTAGAATAGGGTTTTGGGGTTGTTATAGGTAATACTACTGGTAATTATTTCCGACCCCCATATTAAACCTTTAACTCTCCCAGCTGCCAGGGTTGGCACTCAGGTAAACGAGCCTATGCTGCATGCCTAAACAGTACCTCCGCAGCCCGAAACCTTATCCGCAACAAATCGCTGAGGGCTGAGGGTAGTTACATGGTACCTAGTATGGGCCCTCAAAAGGGTACCCCCTATATACCCCTTCTAAAACCATGTACAAATTAAGGGCACATACATCAGCCATCTTGAGGGCCCATTTAACTACCCCTCCAAAATCACAGATAAATACCAACCCATGAGCCCTGATTCCCGCTGAGGGCCGAACTGCCGAGCATTGCGACGGAGCCGGACAGACTAACCTGCGACATCCAACCCAGCAGTTCGGGGTTTATGGGCTTCAAGTTCAGTGTTCAGGCTTTCAGACAAGGTTTAGGGTTCATGTGTTCCGGGTTCAGTTTTCAGGTTAGGGTTCAGGGTTCGGGTTTAGGGTTTAGGGTTTAAGGTCTAGGGTTTTCAGGTTTAGGGTCTAGGGTCCAGCAGTCTGAAATCCAGGGCTTGGACCGGGGCAGGGTTCTGGCCCAAGACGGCCCCTCCAAGGACTGAGGGTTGTCATTCTTCGCGGTTTAGGGTTTAGGGTTTAGGGTTTAGGGTTTAGGGTTTGGGGTTTGGGGTTTGGGGTTTGGGGCTTGGGGCTTGGGGGTTCGTAGGCTGCAATTGTCAAGCGGACCACAAGGGGCTACCATTCTAAAGACCGACCCCTCCATTGGCTAGCGCCTGCTACACAAACCGAGCGAAAGCTGAGTAGAGCATCGCACTGCTGCGTGCGAGCGGCTGTGTACAAGATGAAGGAAATCAGCTGCCCAGAAGTCATCTCATTGTTGTGGACGAGGGTGGCGCCTGCGGAAACCCTAAACCCTAAACCCTAAAACCCTAAACCCTAAAACCCTAAACCCTAAACCCTAAACCCTAACCCTAAACCCTAAACCCTAAAAAGTCCCAAACCCGGAGCCCTGAGCGGAAACAAGGCCAACAGCTGCATGCAAGCTTTGACCGAGCTGGGGTTGCATCGGGCAAACGCCACGTGTTGCTGGGTAGGGTTTAGGGTTGAGGGTTGAGGGTTGAGGGTTGAGGGTTTAGGGTTTAGGGTTTAGAGGCCCGGGCCGTATCGGAGCACAATGGTGAACGCGATGAAGAAGAGCATGCCAACCTGACCAGCCGACTCACAGCCCCCAACCCAACAACAGCTTTAGGGTTTAGGGCTTAGGGTTTAGGGTTTGCGCGCGCATGGAAAGCACGAACAAAGGTTTTCTGCATCCTAACTTCACATCTGCTCTGCATGATTCATGGTTCTGCTCGACCAGCTGTGGCATCTGTGCCGTCACTCGAGCCGCGCATAGAACCCAGTGACCCGAGTCTCCAGCTACGCCAGACCATGCTCCGTAGATCATCGACCGTTGTCGTCCATACCGATAGACAAGATCACTGGCGGCACCTTCGCAAGTACAAAGTGATATTTATGGAGAGTCTGGTGCGGAAAAAAACACCTGCTGCTCCTGCTGCGTGAGGCACATTCAGTCAGAGATCGGCTAAGTTTAAAGACACAGAACTGCACAGAGCAGCGCGCTGCAGCCACGGTGCAGTACTTCTTGTCCATCAGCTTCTCGCCAGAGCTGAAAGCGCGGACGGTGCGAAGATTGCCAAAAGTCTCTGAAGCCAGGTTTCCGACTTCTGCAGTCCTTATCTACCATTTGCATAAGAACCCTAAAAAAAAACAAACAATGCTCCTTATGTTACCCTTGGTAAGGAAGAGTCGTAGCCATCGCCCAGGATTTTTTTCCGAACCACAACTGTAAACGGTGGCTGGCGGTGATGATAGGACTGCTCCAACACCTTTTTGTTGGATAGGGTTTTAGGGTTTTAGGCTTTTAGGGTTTAGGGTTGAGTGAGCATGTGACATTTAGATGACCTCTTGCGAGTGGGAGGGCTCGTTTGTTGATCCAGCCATACTAGCTCTACATGCGTAATAATACAAAACAATAATAATAATGATAATAAAAATAATAAATAAATATATATATATATATACATACATATGTATATGATACCTCCCCCCCCCCCCCAAAAATGCGGCGGGTAACTCGTCCGCATGTTCAACTTGCCGCTGCATGCACTTCAGAAGCTGCTTACGGTTTAAAGTGCAGACCGAATTCTTCCGAAAACCGATGCCACAATCCCAAACTCCAGAATGACCAAAAGAACTAATGAAGAAAAACGCAAAACAAAGAAGAAGAGAAACACCAACAAAACAACAAAACACATGTCATGATAATTCGTTGACAACCAAAGCCTATATAACAGCAAGTTGTGTTTACAATTTCGGTCATTTTTGCTGTGTTTCTTGTTGCTGGTTTTCCTTTTTTTCTTGCTGTTGGTTTCACGTAAATTCGGTCTGCTATTTGTCTTATCTGTATATTTACTTGGTTAGAGCGCCCCACCCCACCCCCACCCGCCAAGACCTAAATATTTGCCACTCCACTCTTATACGTGCTTCTACGAGTTCGCATGGGGTGGCTAAAGTTTTAGACTATGTTTCCATTAAGCGTGTAGTGGTTCCATCGGGAATATCGAGGAGAGCAAGGTTTTGCAAAATTGGATAGGGGTACCCCTTTATACCTCAAGCAGAACAGAATCCCCTTAAAGAGACCCCCCCCCCAAAAAAAAAAAAAAACACGGAAACCCCCATATACAGTGACATAGGTAGGTAAGGATTCAGGCTGGGGCCGATGAAGCACCTCGAAGGGCTTAATCGGTTTAGCACCTCAAAGTGCTTCAACCCCTCCCCCTAACATAAAACACCCAACAGTTGGAACATCGTTCTCCTTATACCCCAGAAGGTTACGAAAAAAGATTCCCAGCACTCATCGTCCTGAAACCATGTTCCAACTTTATGGAGCTTACTGTGATGTTAAACTCCCTTGCCCCCAAATATTAAACCACCCCCCATTATGGTTACATTTTATGATATGGGGGCGTGTTCAATACTTGGGGGTAGGGGGGGTAGGGGGTGGGGGGCGGGCTTAATGTTACAGAAGCACTTTGAGGTGCTCCCCCCTACCCCCTGATATTAAATACCCTCCCCCCCCCGCCCCGTATACTATGGGATATCTATAATGGGGCCCTAAATACTATAATATATCAATAATCGGGGTCTTACATCTGGGGTAAGGTGGGGGTTTTAGCTTTGGGGGGAGGGGTTTCATCGGCCGGCTTCGGATTCAAGACTGAAGATGCTCTGCCCTGGGGAAGTGTAATTCTTGCTCCTTTAACCTGGCTGGTTCTTAGTAGGGAATGAGGGAAAGAGGTACTAAACCCTAAACCCCTAAACCCCTAAACCCCTAAACCCCTAAACCCCTAAACCCCTAAACCCCTAAACCCCTAAACCCCTAAACCCCTAAACCCCTAAACCCCTAAACCCCTAAACCCCTAAACCCCTAAACCCCTAAACCCTAAACCAGGTTGGCCAGACCCTAGTTAAAGCGGGGGGATCCCAAATCTTAGTCCCAAATCCCTAAACCCTAAACCCTAAACCCTCCAAAACCTGGAGAGGAGAGTTTTTAGTGCTCCCCACAAGCTTCTATAGATCTTATAATTGGCGAAATCTGAAACTAGTAAGGGTTCCCTCGCGTGCATGCCAGCATGGGCTTTAGGGTCTATCGAAAAGGTTGTAGGGAACTGGGTTTTGCCTAAAAATCAAAGGCTAAACAGAAGAGTTTCTTTTGCCTTTTGTATATTTTCCTTAAGGGGAGAGACCCTAGCTTAGAATGTCTGAATCACAATGGCCAAGGCTAAGGCGGCGAGATCCCAAATCTTTGTCCCTCAATCCTATTCTTTAAGTCTTGAGAAAAGGGATTCCTAAATAACACAGAGGAGTCTTGAGTACTCAATCTTATGCGCTAAGTCCTAAACGCGTAGGATGTAGCAGGATTTGGGGAGCAGGATTTAGGGAAGAATGTTTGAAGCCCGCCCCGAATCGAATTTCAGGGTGGGGGGAGGGGGGGGGGGGGTCATTTTCGGATATTAATAATATTTGCATTTTCATTCTTGGAATCGGCCCACTTTTGCCCGAATCGGGACTTAAATCTTACTCGCTAAACCCTGAGCGAATGGTTTAGGGCAAGGACGTAGGGACCACCAAGCACTCATTTGACGCTGCGCTTTCCTGCATGACAAGCATGTTTTGCAGCGGTCCATTGTAAAATTACAAAATACAACAAAATACATAAATGAAAACGGTCCTCTTCAGACATTTGTCGGGATTTTTGAGTTCCTCCGTGCGCCCACCCACCGGCCCACGCCCAACCCGGAGACACCTTCTCTTTCAACGCAGCGGGGGTTCCTGTGGTGCTTGCATAGCTTGAACACGCCAAGCTTCTCGTCCTGGTATTTCTTGCTCACTCGCCGAGAGATCTGGCCCATAAACACGGCCAAGATGCTCACCTGCCAGGCTACTATTTGCTTAAGAACCCCAAAAAATACGAAAATGTTCTTCCTTGTAAGGGCTATATAGGGATTATTGTTTTTTGTTTTTGGGGTTCGTATGCACATAGTAGCAGAGCCTAGGATGTGTGGACTCCTCTGGGGGAAACTCTGGCTCACAGAGCTGCGTGGCAGTTCAGGGCCTACCATGACACAAGCTTCCAAGGATCAGGACTTCTGGTCGGCAGAAGGTTGGTGAGGTTGTTGGCTAAACCCTAAACCCTAAACCCTAAACCCTACACCCTACACCCTACACCCTACACCCTAAACCCTAGACCCGAGACCCTAAACCCTCTAAACCCTAAACCCTTGGCATCATAGGGCCAAGGCGTAAACCCTTGCAGCCCAGTGGCCACTGGCACAGTGACAAGCATGGCCAGGGTGAGCTTCCATGAAGTCACCTGAGATCGCCCTAAACCCTAAACCCTAAACCCTGAACCCTAAACCCTAAACCCTAAACCATAAACCCTAAACCCAAAACCCTAAACCCTGAACCCTAAACCCTGGGCTTCACACTGGACTAGGCCCTCTAGAGCCCTGAAGACGAAGGGTTTTTGAAACCCTACCATGCCCGACCTTCGCCAATTGTTGGCCTTGTCCTCTCCCATTCCCTCCAGCAGCAGAGAACTGAATCGATGCCCACCATGGAAGACAGTGTGCACGCTTTGAACGATAGCCGGAACCGTTTTGAGAAATTTAAACTACGACTTGCTTCAGAACCCCCTCAAACCAGTAAAAGATCACCATCCCTATCTTACAAGGAAGAATATGTTTATCTTGTTTTGGGGAGAGAATAATTAACCCAAACCTTATGTGGAAGACTTTGTGTGCGTGTGTGTGTTTGTCTTTTTTGGGGGTTTTTAAGCAAGTAATAGGAAATGAAGCGGCCACCACAGAGTACGTCAGCATTGGAGTGTTCAGAAGCGCCGGGCAGACATAATCTAGGGGCCCTTAATAATTAGAATCGGGTTTTCGGGGTAAAAGTAGAATTCTATAGGGCCCATGAGGAAACACCATTGGTAACTATTTTTAAGGCGCCTGTATTAGGACCTGCTAGGACAGCTGCGACTTTGCTTGCCTTGGCTCTGGGGGGGGGGGGGGGGAGACGTGAGTTTAGGGTTTTTCGGGATAGGTACTTTTTCCTTAAGAACCCCCCAAAAATGAAAGATAGTCATCCCTGTATTGCCCCTATATTGAAGAATATCCTATGTACTGTTAAGGGGGTTCTTAATTCGCAAAGAAGGGGACGTAAAATTCGACTCTCGTGCGGAGCAAAGCCACGAGCATCACGATGACGGACAGCAGCAAGCTGGCGCTGCTGCGCAGGAAAATGGAGATGTTTGAGCTCGCCTCAGCTTGGAGCACAAGCCTCTGGTTACTCTACACTCCCTACATCCTACACCCTAAACCCTTACCCCTGAACCTAAGACCTAACCCTACTAGTACCGAGCCCTAGCAAGCGCTAGAAAACAGCATGCAGTCGCGTATACAAATCCTCCAGAGGCATGCAGGTGAGAAAAGCTTGCAAGCGAATGGCCTGTCGAAGCGACCTGTGCCCGTTGCAGCCCAGATGCGGCATTCTGCAAAGTTCCAGTGTCATTGGTCAACCGGGACACCAATGCCTGGATAGGAAACTACTTGCCGAGCATGAGCATGCATTTTACAGTGGTTTTGCGTAGCGTTGCGTTGCATTGCATCTCTGTTCCATTGCAGTACATTCCGCTGCGTTGCATTGTGTTATATGTGTATATATATATATGTATGTATATATATATATATATGTGTATATACATATATTCCAGGGCATACTCCTCCGACAACAACGGAACTTAAAAGGCTGAGCCTTCTCTTCTTTTAAAAACAAGGAAACACAAAACCCTTACCATTTAATGCTGTGCATCCATGGCGACATTCAATCGCGTGACAACTCGAGCGTCCAGGATATTTAATCACCGTTGCGAGTTTCGATCTTTGGCTTGAGCAAACATTGGAGTCGAGACAGACGGGATCCAGTTTTGAAATCCTGTCTGTGATTTCATTGTATTATATCTAAAGGTGTTAGATTGGAAAGACATGGAAACTTTGGATGGTTCGTATGGTGCCACGTCCCAGTATTTGTTCGAACTTAATCTATTGGCTAGTAAGATGCTTTATCTTCAATTCTAACTCATCGCATTCCATATACGTCCTCGTGCAGCCCATGCCTTCCCAAAGCAGTGCAGACGGAAAACGCCAGTAGTCTGCACGTCGAAGAAGGCGACTTCTTGACGGAGCAGCGCACGAAAAACCTGAGGGTCACGTGTCACCTCTGCGCATGCACCGTCCCTGGGAAAGTGGAGAATAGATGCCTTTCAACAAAAACTGGGATGTGCCTGACATATGGGCTTAAAGTGTTTACTTTACATGCCAGGGGCTTCTCTAGGCATTCCCCGGAACCACCCATCCAAATCCTTGGCTCAATTCCAGAGCAGCAGCTGACAGTGTGTCCCTGCTAGAAGCTCCTAAGCCCAAAGCCCTCGGCCGTGTTTCCGCAGGCTACCGGATCCCATCCCCACACGCAGTTGTGAGAGCACGGACGCAGGGCCTGCTTTCTCAGCTCGCACACGATGCGTTCCCCTGCCAGGACGAACAATGCACCTGAGATGCAAGGTCGCAGGGGGTTCGCGGAAGTGTGGGAACTGCGAAGCCCGGAAGCTCTCAACCCTAATGTAGGAGCCTGAATACTTAGGAAACTTAGAATAGGTTCTTATAGTAGAATGAAAAGGAACCACACGGGAACAGTTTTAGAAATTATTCCCTGTAATGGCCCTGCATCAAAGCACCTCGAATCATGGAGGTAAGGGAAGAGGCGATGGCGACCACAATGATCTCGGCCGTCACCTTTTCTGCAGGGGTTGTGGCTTTCCGGCAGTCTGCGTAGAGTTGCTAGAGCTCTGCAGGCCTCAGAGAGTGTTTAGGGTTTAGGGTTTAGGGGTTTAGGGTTTAGGGATTTGGGGGTTTAGGGTTAGGGGTCTAGGGTTTGGGGTTTAGGGTTTAGGGGTTTCGGGGTTTAGGGTTTAGGGCCTCAGAGAGTGTCCTGGGCTAGAAGTTTGCGGTTGGGACGTAGGCTCCAGGGGGGTTCAGGCGACAAGGTTCGGGGTCATTTACTTAAGCCAACAATGGAGGGATCCTAAACCCTAAACCCTAAACCCGAATAAACCCTAAACCCTAAACCCTGAACCCCTAAACCCTAAACCCCTAAACCCCTAAACCCTTAAACCTTACACCCGAAGACCCCCTGGCACCTGGTTCAGCGCCTCTGTCGACACTCCGCCCGGGCTGCCAACCATCTCCACGAAGCGTCCGCCGTAGTAAGGCAGAAGCATGAACAGAGCACCTGGGCTTTAGGGCTTATAGGGTTTAGGGTTTAGGGTTTAGGATTATAGGGTTTAGGGTTTAGGGTTTAGGGTTTAGGATTTAGGGGGCTTTGGGTTTAGGATTTAGGGTTTAGGGTTTAAGGCGGTTTTAGGTTCCGGACGCAGCCCTGAATGCCCTAAACCCCAAGAGCCACAGCCCTACAGACTCTTAAAGCAGGACGTGCACAAACCCTAAACCCTAAACCTAAAACCCATCACCCCAGAGCTGCACCTTGACCCTATAGATTGTCCAGAAGTGCAAACACCCTCAATTAAACCCCCCAAAGCTTAGTTGCTGAGTTCATAAGGCCCAAAAAATTGTACACTTTCAGTTCTATAGGGGATTGTAGTATCTCAGAAAGTGTAAAGTGTACTCACTCAGCCACTAAGCAAGCTCTAAAGCTCAAAGAACCCTACCTCCATAGGGAGTACTTGGGCCTTGGAGTACCTCCTTTACAGGGACTTTTGGGCCCAAGTATACAGTAATGTGGTACATGGACCCTTACTTGGAGGTTCATGGTACTTGTTAACGAACTATAGCTGTACTAATAATAACAGTACTTATAACCATATTAGGGCAGTTAAGGGGCTTAGAAGTGGGTTATAAGTACAGTTGTAACTAAACCCTAAACCTTAAACCCTGAACCCTGAACCCTAACCCCTAACCCCCCCCCCCCCCCCCCCTTCAAGAAGCCCAGGTGCTGTTGAGATAGAGGCTGAAGGTCGCAGGAACCAGGATCTTGTGCTCGCTCGCTGCCAGCTTGAAAATTTTGCCTCGCCCAAACAGTGTTTAGGGTTTAGGGCGTAGGGTTTTTTGGGTTTAGGGTTTTTAAGGTTTAGGGTAGCTTCTTGGGTTTAGGGTTGCAAGCATAGAAGTTAAGGGTTCTTGGCGATGTAGGGTGTGCGAATTCCTTTTGGAGTCTTTTGGCTCTCCGGCAAAAACAATTGCAAGGCTCTGTCTGCAAGAGGTTCCCCATAATTTGCTCAGACTCAGCCCGTTGCTGTTATGGCTTAGGGTTTAGGGTTTAGGGCGTTCAGGGTTTTGGGTTTAGGCGGTTTAGGGCTTTAGTATGTATGCCCAGAGCCAGGCAAGGGACAAGGGATGCTTCATTGGGTCACTTGGGTTCCGGGGGCTTCTTGTCAGCCCTCTGAACCCTGAAGCCCTTCCGACTCTTGGAGGGCCTGACTGCTCTCTCCATCAAGCTAGGGGCTTGTGGGCCTTGAGGATGGTTCAGGGTATAGGGCACGGTGCAGAATGTGACAGCTGAATGCTTTCACCACCGTGAGCACCAAACGGTGCCCAACCGTCACAAATCGGATCCCGATTTGGTTTAGGGTCCATCACTCCCTAAAACCTAAACTCTAAAACCCTAAACCCTAAACCCTAAACCGCTAAACCCTAAACCCTAAAACCTAAACCCTAAACCCTAGACCCTAAACCCTAAATAACCTAAAGTCCAGGTCACCAGTGGGTGTGTTCTTCTGTGCGAGGAACGCGCCCACGAGGATGGACACACCAGATATTGCAATGATCACCTCAGGCACCCTAAACCCTAAACCCTAAACCCTAAACCCTAAACCCTAAACCCTAAACCCTAAACTCTAAACCCCGAAGACAGGCTTCGAAACATGGATCTTTGCACCTCTAGATCTGCATGGTCTGCCTAACGAAGAACCATTGCACCTTGGTCCTTAAGAGGGTTTACAACAGGGTTTAGGGTTTAGGGTTTAGGGTTTATAACAGGGGGTCATATAATCCTCATGAAGGAGTGTTAGTCTAAGGGGGAACATCCCAAATTTCACCTCGCAAACGGGGAATGTATCTAGTTGCATGGCGTATCTTGCCTTTTGAAGGGGCACAGGGGTGCACT